AGGAAACGTTCCTGTTCAAATTAAATAATCAAATTCAAAATAAATAAATCACTTTACTGTCTGTAAGGAGTCTTTTCTCCTAAAGGTTTATTGCAAAACTGTACAGACAGAATATAAAGAACCTGAAAACATTTTATTGAAATTCAGGCATTTTTAAGAATTTCAGAAAAAACCTGAATATTAGAAAGAAGATTTACTCGACTGGGGCAAATATTGAGCCGCTAACCGATTTTGTAGACGACGCTGGTGGTGAGTCCATCGTCCTCGTCGGATTCGTCGCAGCTCGCTACGGCTTTACGGGAAATGAAGATGTTGCCTGGAACAAAGAGGGAAACGTGAATTATCAGCAACGACTGACAGACTTTTATCATCCAGTATTTGGCAGAAACGGAGAGAGAAAAGAGAAAAATGATCAATCATACAAATTTAAGTTACTGAGTTTGTTTTCATTTATGATGCAGTTAAACCAATATCTGACATAAAATCTCTTTTCAGTATTGGCCCCACTGCAGAGGTTGGATCGGTGCGTCTCCATCTAGGCTATCTCTGCTGAGCGTAGCGGCTGGACTCACTGGGCTTGATGTCCATGTGGACCAGAGACATGGAGTGGATGTACTTGAGTCCCCGGGAGACCTGCAGCAGCAGATCCTTCAGCTCCAGCTCCGACAGGTAGCTGAGCCGCCTGTAATTGTCGGCGATGACGTCGGACAGAGTGCCGCCGTTGCAGTACTCGTTCTGGATCAGCATGTGGTCGTCCTCGGCCCAGGCCGAGTAGTAGCGCACCACGTGGGGGTGCTGGCCCAGCACGGCGTGGGCGTAGACCTCCCGCAGCGCATTCTGTCTGTGAGGGGAGGAAAAGAAAAAGTTGTTTTTTAATTTAAAAGCACATCGTTCAGCACACTTGCACCTTTCGCTTATGCTCAACTTACTCATCTACCGATCCTGCCAGGGGCTTCTTGGACCTCTTGATAGCGTAGATGCAGCCGTCCAGCCTTTTCACGCACTTGAACACGGCGCCAAACTCCCCCGAGCCAATTTTCTCCAGCTCCAGGAACTCTGAGGCATAGCGGGACATCATGTTGCTCTCCATCATGGTGATCCTCTGCAGAGGGAACAGCATGTTGAAGCAGGGTGGAACACATCAAACACACACAGATCTACTTAGCATTCACACAAAAAGCAAACACAGTTCCAGGGCATTTGCATATGAACTGGCACATTTGCCTCCAGCCCTTTGTGATTCTGATGAATGCTTATTGTGCAATACAAACACCATGTACAGAACAGCTTGTTACATCGTTCTACCCGCTGGGCTCCTGCAAGATTAGCATGTTTAAAATTTTATATTTCCCACAGTTAAAACAAATGAGAACAAATGAAATTAATGATATTGAAAGGTGGTCGGATTCAAAGACAAGAAGGAAGAATGAACTTCTCATCATAAAAACTGAAGGAAATTGTAACATGCCAACAAAAACCTGGGTCTCCGCAGGCTTCATCAACTCAGATTAAAGGGCCATGCTTTTAAGACCCGTGGTGAATGTATTTGAGGTCAACCTTTTTCCTTCAGTGAAATCTAGACTTCAATCCCTTGATTTTAAATAACAAGCCCTTATTTAAAAAGTCAGCCAACTTTTTATAGATGCACGGACACCATCGCTTTTATAAGGGCTAAAATTCATTTATTGTTATTTGGGCTTGGGAAACATTCTGATCAAATGCCATACATCTACAGATTGCACAGAAACGGCATATTCGCAATTTGAGTCACTGATTTTCTACTGCATTTGGAAAACATCTTTGAATATCAGGTTAAATTTGAACTTATTCCCTGATTCAAACAAATTATTATTAACACATCTTACAAAACAAAATCTATGACGAAATTAAAAGATAAAAATTGCACCTTTGATGGCGGCAGAATTTCCTCTTCCCCTTCGACGTCACTGGCCTCCATGTCTTCTCCACAAGAACTGCAACAACAAAGACGTTTGTTAGCGTCCTGCCCAGAAGGGGACAGCACTGAGAGCTACACAAGCACATGGAGATCAACCTCAACCCACGAGGTCGTTGTTATAGGGCAACTCCCCCTCGACCTAATAAACAACTTTAATATAACTATGTAAAAGAATGACAGGAAAGGTCCCTGAACCCGCGTTCCTCTGTGCAATAATAAGCTCTTGTGTTTCTGCAGATCTCCTCCTGCGGATGGAAACCAACTTCTATATTTATTATTTTTACTTTTTCCATTCAACAAACTTAACCTACTCATTCCAATGTGCTCGCTTTCTGTTGTTTCTGTGCTGTGTGGCGGACTGGATCAGCAGGGAGTCGGGAGTGAACGGGTTAAAGTTGACATGGGGCATCTGCTGTTTCTTGCAGCTGTCTGTGAAGGACTTTCGTGGAGACTCCACGTTCTTGAAGAGAGCAACTCTCCTGCTGGAGGATCCCGGGACGGAGCTCCTGGCTCTTGACAGCAAACTCTGCAAAAAAAGAAAATTAAAAAAATTTACTTCATTCCCCCCCCCACCCCAACCCACCCCCCACCAATCTGGATGTTTTTCATTCATTTAAAAATTAAATAAGCATGTGTCAAAAAGTATTTAAAGTTTGCTTTCTCTGCAACACCAATAGGATCATAAATTATGCAACAGGTAGAAATGTAGTGTAAGTGGGTCAGTAACGGATCCTGCAGATGAAACCAGATCTTCATATAAAATCATGTGCATCTACTGAGCATTGTGGGAAAACAAGAACATAATTAATGGGTTTATTTTTTTTTCGTAAAGAGCAGAAATGACATATTGTTCATATATATATGCGCTTTTCTTGCGCAAGAAAAGCGCAAGAAAAGGTCGCTTTTCTTGCGACCTTTTTGCAAGAAAATGCAAAAAGGTCGGCTAATTCTGACCTTTGGTGTGTGCGGTGTGTCGAAAAGCCGGAGTTTCCTGAAGGTTTTGTGCGGAGGTGTGTCGGGGCAGTCCGGTATCGGAGAGCTGGATCCCTCCCCATCGTCCTGCATGTAGCTCCGCTCCGGTGACACTCCGTACATCCGCGACACTTTCTTCGGCGACGGCGAGCAGTTGGCGAAAATGACGCTGCCGGGGGATTGCAGCAGGGACGGGGAGTCGAAGCCCTCCTCGTCCCACAGCTCCACGTCGTCGTCGTCTCCGCCGGAGTGGTTCAAGGGGCTGCTGCCGCTGCCGCTGCGACCGCCCTGCCTCCGCCGCTCGTCCGCGGCGCCCCGTCGCACCGGCGTCGGGGAGTCCATCTCCGTGAAGCCGGACTCTCCCCCGGTGCTGTTGTTGACATCCTCGATGGAGTCGTCCTCTCCGTCGCTGGACGTGAACTGCAGCTTCTGGCGAATCGGTCGGGATTTGGGGGAAGGCGTTCCGAGTCGATGGCGACCGTAGCTCGACATTTCGAGGATTTAAACCCCGAAGAAGAATAGGAGAGAGAGAGAAAAAAAACGCGGTTTTCGCTCCCACCGCTTCCTCAAAAACGAATTAGCTTCAATTACCTGTTAAATGGTATTAAGCTCATGAAAACTACTTTTAGCAGTTCAACTTTACGAAAACTTCGGTCCTCTTAAAGTCTGACACCCCAGTAAAAACTGGGAAAATGGCCTCGCGCTCGCTCGAGTCGAATGCAGGAGCAACGTCCTCCGTAGTAAAGAATCATTAAAATAAAAAAAGAAGAAAAGAAAAACAGTCCTTCATCAATCCGTCACGCTCTCCTTGATGACTGACCGACACATAAAATGCGTCTCTCCGGAATAGAAACCTTAGCAATGTTTACAAAAGTTTGAGGGAGTCGAAAAATGAGCTCTTCCAATTAAAGCGCGTGGCAAAGAACTTCCCGCGACCGTTGATCACGTGTCGCCGAGCGGCCAATCACCGCCCGGCGTTGAATTTTGAAAGATGGGCGTTCCAGTGTTGAAGTGGAGGGGTTACGTAGTCCCTCGGGCCGTCCCCCGCGTGAAAGAATGTGGCGCGAAGTCATGAGTCACAATGACAATGCGTGGATTATTACCACCCAAAACAAAGAACAGACGGATGAGAGAGAGAAAAAAGTTTTGTGTGAGATAACGTGAGGGGGGAAAAAAGTTTTCTATCACTGTTACTTTGAATAGGACGTTGTTTTTACATACAACGAAATTGAACTAATCAACAGTTTATGCAATTTTCGCAGGTATATTTACACATTACTTGTCTTCAAACATTTTATGCACACTTTGACAAGATCAACATGCTGCACATTAATGCATGACTCAGAAACCAAATCCAAAACTTATACCAGTATTTTAGATTATTATTTTTTAGACTGTATTAGCATGGAAAAATTTGAAAGTTAAGTCAGAATAAAATCATGCCGTGCAAATTAAATTTCTTCACGTTACTTTATGTTTGCTGCATTTTTAGACCCCTTAAAACGTGATCCTGGCAGTAGAGCAGAGTTGTGTAATACTTTTACTATGCACTCTTAAACTCCTGCTTTAGGATATTGTTTCCTTCTTAGCATCAATTAATGCATAATAAGCAGTTAATAATTTTTTAAAGTATTTATAGACAAATTGGTAACTATAAAACTATTATTGATTAGCCAGTGTTAGAACAACCTAACAAGTTACATTGGTTTTAGCTGTAGAAAGTGTCATGTTTCTGTTTTGAGCTTAAATAGAACATGTCGCTTTTGTGCAAATAGAATCACCACTATGGTGAATATTGTGTTTCACCATGGAAAAGCAATTATTTTCAATTTAACACAAGTCATGGAGGCTGTCAACATGGTGGTGAGGAAAATTTACAAAGTGAATCACCTGGTTGTGTCTCACACACACACACACACACACACACACCCTCTTCTCAGATGCTGTGAAGCAAGTTTGTCTTTTTATCCTTCGTTTGTATCCATAGTCAGCTTTTTACATCCCTAGTTGGTCAGACACCATTTTACAGTTTGTTGCATAACTTCTAAGGCGGAAACAGAAGCCAGTCATGTCCAGGCAATCTTTAATTTTTGTTTATTTATTTTAGAAATAGCATTTTCTGTACACTGCACTGTGCATTCAGCGACATTAGAAAGCATTAATTCCCTCTTCCATTTTTCCGCGAGAGAGACAAAATAGCGTGACGCAGCTTCAGTTATCAAAATCCTATTTACACGTAAAAGCAGAGTTCAGTTGTGAAAACAGAATGGGGAAGACATGATTTCTCCCAAATATGCATATCTGTATATAGACATATATAGTCCATTTGAAAAAATGGTCTTGGTCTTCATTCATTGTCCATGCGGAGTCGTCAGCCAATCAGTCGTCCAGGCCGGGGGTTTCTCCTTGCTGTATCCTGGAGGCTATTCTAATGGCTTCTTCCAGAGAAGGCTGATCGCTCAGCTACGACAGGACAAAAAAATAAATAAAAAAGAGGAATATATCACTCACTTTAATTACTAACCGTTTAATCGCTCCTAACGATGCGTCCTTTACTCTGCTGTAGGGTGCGGCCACATGACCAAACCAGTAGACAAAAGGAAGCTGGTTCTAATTAGCACACCTCAAAAAGGAACCAGGTGATCATAAAGGACAAAAGTTTTCAAAAGAAAAGTCATCAGACCTCCCTGCTGCCACCCTGTGAGATTTAACTAATAACTAGTTACATTTACTAGGGTAACCTTTTAGGGGGGTAAAATGACTTTTGGGAGTATTCTTACTCACACCTGCTGATTGTGTTAAACATTTATATTTAAAAAAGTTGATGTAGAAACATTTACCCTTGGCCTGATTTTGTTTTGTTGTTTTAGTAACTATGCTATTCATATGAATCATTTTCAATTTGGTCCTTAAAACACCAAAAAATGTCCACGTAATTTCATATTTTGGTCCGTCTGATGATGTAATTTTTAAATATTAAATGATTGATGTTTTGATCAGGTACCAAAAGCTGTCTTACTCTTACTTGAGTCATTTCCTGAATGTCTACTTCTTACTGTTCATATTTCTTTTTAACTTCCTTTGATAAGAAACAGAGCCCATCCACAGGGGGGCAGCAGTGAGGTTACGCCTCCAACTTGCAGCAAATATTTAATGAGTTGAAATCTGAAAAGAAGAATTACATTGTAAGACACTGAGAAGTAGTCACAAAATCCATAAAGAAATATTAATTTTGACCTCTTTTGACCTCTATGGTGGGTTGAATCTGACTGACTTTTTTTTTTTTTTTTTTGTCAGACTGGGAACCAAGAGTCTCCCCAGGTTCTGCGACCGGTTTGAATGTAACCAGAAAGTGACAAATTTGGACAAACTCAGCAATGGCCACTGCAGTCAAACCGCCATGCTGTTGTCACAATTATCACTCAAGTGCTGGAATGTTTCCTCGACTTTGTCACAATCTGCAGAACGTCCCTAAATATCCAGGATGTTTCTGCAGCTTCGCTGTAGGGAAACAAACACTCCACATTTTCAGAAACTGTCACGCAAACAAAATGTGACATTTTTGATCACTAGGGCTTAAGCCCTGTAGTTGAAGTTGATTGTGTCATGCAGTAGCTGTTGCAAAATATTTTACACTTTATGTGTGTAGAAAGATTAAAAAATAAAAAATAAAAAAACGGTGTGATCTTTTGTTTCTAGAAATCCATATGTGTCTCATTACTTTATATCAGGACGAACAAAAAACGATTGAATAATTATAGCACTTTTTTTTTCATATTTAAAATTGTTGGAAAGATTTCAGTTTCCAGATTGACTTTCTTTGCTTTCTTTACACATACATTTTTTTATATAAATAAACCTTTTTGGGGGGCTGCTGTTGATACTAACACAATCTGGCATTTTTAACAGGACAAACATGGACACATCTAGTTTCTATCTGGCAATTAATGAAGATTTCCATTCTCACGATTAATATATTTTAAGAAAAATGTTGTTTACAGACACATCATAATCCAAAGTGTTAGTGTGTTTGGTTGTGACTGCTTTTTATTGATTGTGTTTGAATGGTTAGAGTTATTTTGGAGCGTTAAAAAACCTTCTAGTTGTTAAGTGTTCAGAAGTGCATATTTGCTAGGCTATTACCCGGTTAGTTGTGTGGACCAGTACTGGTTTACCAACCTGAACGGCGATGTGAGTGCCGTTGGGCGTGGCCAGTAACGTGACCGGATGGAGATCCTCTTGGTCCTGGCTGTAGTTTGCTTCCTCCACGGTTTGGAACGACGCCATGTCGGGTGTCATGATGGCCACCTGAGCGACACAAAAACACATTTCACCGATTCAGCAGTTAGCGTTTAATTTCTACAGTCAACACCGCTAGCATAGATGTTACACACAGCAGCACCTGGAACTCTTTTTTTTTTTTTTGCTTGTTTGTTTCCCACATTTTGTCCAAAAAGGGAATCGTTCAAACATTTCTCCTTTGCTTTTAAAGAAATTAAAGTTTGAAAACTGACCTGACCCTAACATCTCCTGTTATTTATTGAAGAGATGTCTGAAAGTAACGAGTTCAGCTACTGTAAAATGACAGTCTTTGTGAATCATTTCCAGGTGACTTACAAAGAAAACGAAAAGCAAACAGAAAAACAGGCAGACGTCAAAACGTCGGCGCCTTCGTTTTCGTTTACCTGTTCGTCAGAGCCGTCGGTCGCCACCATGGTAACCGAATGTGCGCCTTGCGTTGCCAGTTCGTGCGCTGGGATGGTTATGGTGGTGCCTTCTTGGGTGACCATGGTGATTGTGCCACCCATCGCTTGCAGGTCTGCTTCAGAGATGCTGACCTGATAAGAAAGCAAAAGACAGAAATCTACAGAGTTCAACAGATGAAGAGTTGCTTAAACCTTTTACTGGTGCTGTGAAAAGTATTCACTTCCCCTTGAATCTTTTTTTTTTTTTACTCCTTTATTGCTTTCAGTAGGCATTTTCTGTGCAGAGATGATTAGCATCATTCCAAATTTGGGACGTTTTGCAGATACAGAAAAGTGAAAATCTCAGCTAAAATTGTCTTGTCTTCTCTGAGCCCCTGAAATCTGCAGCCAGCCTCCTTCAGAGACTTTATCTTTCACTTATATGAGATATCTAACCTTGTGACAATCACATTGCCACCCAAGTGTATAATAGTTGTTTTGACATCATTTCACAAAATGGAAGTTAACTTGCCCCAACATGTTGCTGTGCAGACGACACAAGGTCAGGACTGAAGCTTGATAGAAGGAAATAATCAAAACGACTTTACTTGTGCAGAACTGCTCTTCATAGTTTAGATGTCGTACCTGTTGTGTTCCATCTTCCTGCGTTACCAATGCGACCTGCGGCTGACCGGACATGTCCGAGGAGTCCACTGGGATCGGTTCCGAGTCGTCCGTGTCCACCACGGCCGGTGTGTAGCTCACGTTTGGGTCGTCGATGGCGTCTGAAACGAGTCAGTTGGCGGATTCATTTCTCCCGCCGATGACAATAAATCAGTAAAATAAAAGGAAAGGTGCAGCCGTTGACACGGTGACGCGGACCTGCCGGTGGCTCGAAGTAGGCCTCCTGCTCCTCCTCGATGGGCTCGGAGTCGTTGTGCGTGGTGCGTTTGTGCATGGCGAGCGTGGAGATCTGCTTGTAGGTCTTGCCGCAGTGGTTGCAGTTGTAGGGCTTGCAGGGCGTGTGAACCACATGGTGCTTGTACAGGCTGGAGTATTCGGTGAAACGCTTTTCACACCCGGGCACAGTGCAAACGTACGGCTTCTCTCCTGGAGAACAAAGCAAGACGGTCAGCGGGAACGTTTCAAATCGTGGATTGGAACATGCAGGTCCACCTATATGTGTGTGTGTGTGTGTGTGTGTGTGTGTGTGTGTGTGTGTGGACACACACCTGTATGGATCCTCATGTGGTTCTTGTAATTGGTGGCGCTGGCGAAGGAGCGGCCGCAGCTGGGCTCGGAGCAGTAGTACGGCCGCTCCCCCGTGTGCGTCCGTATGTGAACCTTGCGGATGTTGGACGTGGTGAAGGAGCGGCCGCAGCCTTCCACTGGGCACTTGAAGGGCTTCTCCCCTGAAAACCACAGAAGAAGAAAGAGATACTTTCACCAGAGTGTTCATTCATTTATAAAAGTCAGAGTTTCAAATGAAATGTTGAAACTCTGCATGTTTAGGCAGTAAGCTAAATATTTAGTTTGAAGCTAAACATTTAGAGACTAAGCAAAGTATTTTGTTAGGAAGGAAAATATTTAGCTTGCTATATAAATATTTAGTTTATAAACTAGCCTTGATGTAAATATGTTTAAAACTAAATATTTACTTCACTAACTGAAAATACTTTGTTTAACGCTAACAATTTAGCTTGTTAAATAGTTTATAAACTAGCTTCAAGGTAAATATTTAGCTTCAAACTCAAGATTTACCTCACTAACCTTGCTAAATATTAAGTATGAAGCAAAATATTAAACTTTATAACTAAATAAGCGGTTGAAGAAACTTCAAACTAAGGTCAATATTTAGCTTTGTAATTATATATTCAGTTTGAAGGTGGCATTTATAAAAGAACGAGTGAAAATATGACTTTGAAACTGAACCCCCACTTTTTCCTCTCATCAAGCTAAGTTGCTACAGTTTATTTTCTTAAAGTAAAACTTTTAAAGTATAACTTTGTGAAGGGAAGGAAGCCTGTAGCACAGAAGCAACCTGTTCATCACAGAAACCATGTGTTCTTCCCTCCAGCATGATGTGTTCTGTGGAACATTAACACAACCCCTCATGCTGTTCCATCCAGACTTTTCTGGTCTTGTTATTTTGGGGAAAAAAAAAAAAAAAAGCCGTTGTATGTGACCAGAGGCTGTCAGTTCGGGATAAAATGTGATCGTTCGTATCACACACACGCCTCTGAAAGGATTCTTTGTTGTGAAGTCTGGAAGGTAGAAGCATCAGTTATCAGAAGCTAATTTAATTCCCTCCAAAAGAAACGAAGCAAATCTGAAATAGATGAATTTGACCTCGTCCAAATGTCCTTGAGCGCCGTTCAGCCAGCTAGAAGCTCATGAAAAAAGGACCCAATTTTTATGTTTCTGATCAGTCAACCCACCGTTAACAGCACTCTTGGTGGCAGATGTGGTTACAGACCAAAGAACACACAAAAGTTCCTTCCAGATTACCGTTTTGTCCCATGACGTACATGTCCTTTTCACACCTGAAAGATTCTGACTCTGACTGATCCACTTGCAGTCTCAACCCTCCACACCTCTTCTGGTGAGGTGTGACGAAGCAAAGATGGCGGCCGCAGCACGGCGGTGGTGGAGGGAATCGCATCAACCTTCAGTATCAGTGTTGATCAGCCGAATCTGACATAGATAACTTGCTGAGGACTGGGAACAAGGACCTTGTATTTGAAGGAGCATGCATGAACAGATTATCCTTGAGGGAAATCCCTCACAGGGGAAGAAAAGCTGCAGGTCTCTTTGATCCAGCGACATTATATGAATGCGGTCTTGTGTGATGCGTAAGGACAAAGTGACCTGCCATGTTGCAGCTGACGGTTAAATGTTTACTGTGCAACTGTGGGTGAGTTCACACCAGCCCTGCTGAGTCCGCTTCAGTCGAACTCTGGTTCGTTTGTCTGAAGCGGTGAACAAAAAAGAGAAAATCTGCTCCACTTACAGACCTCGGTCTCAGCTCGGTTGAAGTAAACTCTGGCCCGGTTCGAAGAATATGTGAATTTCAAACACTGCTCCGAAAACAGGAAGTGGACTACAGCTCAAGGCATTCTGGGTATATACAACCTAAACAAACCCTTGTGTCTAGCACTTCACTTTACCGAAGCCAAGACAGAAATCTAAAACTACTGAAATGTGATGCCACTGCATTTCAGTTTACATTTCATAAAAAAGGAAGCTGATCTCAGCGTCTTTCTCAGAGGTTTTTCTGGCATTTCCATCAGCGGTTTGAACAAAATATGTCAGGCTCAGTTTATTGTATTCTACTGGGTCTGTCTGAAGCGATTATGCGGCAGCAACAGAAAGACGCCGAGCTTACGCTGACGCGAATCTGCCGCGTTTAACCCATTTTCAGATAGATAACTGGTGCTCCTTGTTAGTCGACCTAACTGATCATATTTTATGCTAAAACTTTAAGTGTGAGCTACATTTTCTCTGCTTATTAATTATTATTCTTGTTCTATGAGATTCTGATTCTGTACCTGTGTGAGTCCTCGTGTGTTTCTGAAGGTCTCCGGAGGTTTTAAAGGACTTGCAGCAGTTCATCTCCTGACATCTGTATGGCTTTTCCCCTGTATGCGTCCGCGAGTGACTCTTCAGTCCGTAACCTTAGATTTCCACAGACAGACAGTTAGGGAGGCCTTTTGTTTTCCCCTGGTGAACTCTTCATTTGTTTGCAACAAGCTGAACACCCTCCATTACAATTGTTTAGCTCATATTGCGATAGCATCTTCCAAGACATAAAACTAAAACAAGCATTGATAAATTCAAAAATAAATATAAAATAAACCCCCCAAATTTTTTTTAAAGTAATAAAATTCAATCAGCTACCTGTTGCAAACTTCTTTCCGCAGCCCCGATATTCGCAGACGTACGGTTTATCACCAGTGTGCGAGCGCTCGTGTACCTGCAGGATATCGACACAAAACTCTTCAAAACCAAATGGCAGACAGACAAATGCACTTTTCCACAACATGCTGCAAGAATACAGCCTTTTAAAATCAGAACATCTAGAAGCGAGAACACTTTTTTGTGCTAAAATAAATTGAAATGGAGGAGCGAAGTGAACCTTGAGGTGGTGGGCAGTGGTGTAGAGCTTGCCACAGCCTTCGTAGTCGCAGCGGAAAGATTTTTCTCCAACATTTGTCACTCTTGGTTGCCTGTTGTCTTGGCCCTGCAGCACAATCTGAAGACGTGATTCACAAATCAGCATGGAAGTCGGATTTCAACCAAGAGGTGGACAGAAGGAAAAACACAGTTACTCTACCCTCATGTGGACACCGCTGTCTGCTTCCACTCTGCCAAACGACCCCAAGGGATTTTCCACGTTCTCCACCTAAAGCAGGAAAACAGGACATTATCATAAATTTCATGCTTTTTCTTTAAATACATGAACGCAAGAATGCCGAGTTGGATAAACTGGAGCCACAGCAGTAGCATGAAACGGTCCGTCACCTTGGTGCCGTAGTGTTCAAGCACACTGATGGTTTCTGGGTCGATAGCCGCGGCGTCGGCCTGCAGGTCTGCGATGGTGCCGTCAGCCTGGATGGCCAGGATGGTGTTGGGCGGCGGCATGTGCACCGTGTGCTGGATGTAGGCGGTGCTTCCATCCTCTAGCTGGACCTCCTGCAAGCCGCTCTGGTCGTACGTTTCTACACAGAGAGAGGAGGCAGGGTGGGATTAACACAAGCCCAAAGAGGAACCAGTTTTCCAGTAGTGGGCACCACTAACTAAAAGATTCGCTGTGCTAATCCTTAAGCATTATTAAAGTTAGCTGAATGGTAAAGCAAAAGACCAACACGGTACATAGCAGAAGCTAATGCTAAAATGCTATATTAACACAGTATTTAGAGGAGGCTAACGCTAAAACTCTATACCATCACAGTATTTGGATGTCTGAAAATTTTTTCATAAAAATTAATTTAGAGTAAGTTAACTGTGCTAAACTTTTTCAAAGTTAGCAAAAGCGCGTAGGCGCTACATAACAAATTGGCTCCACTATTAGCACGTTAGCAGAGGTGTGCCAACCACTGTACAACAACAAAATTCTCAAAAGCAGTTAAGGTTGTTTAGGGACTTTTGAAAACAGTGAGACCAACTCTTTCCTCGTCAAGAGTAGAAAGCCTGGTTCTAAGATACCAGATGACTGAACACTCATCCCAGGAAAAAAACTGCTGTTTTTCAAGCTTTCTACTGAAGTCCACACAAAGAGCAGTGTTTACCTTTGGGAGTGTGAATGTAGGCAGTTGTACCATCTTCTAACTGGACAGCCTGGCCGTCTTCGAGCTGTAAACTCTCCCCTCCTGCAGCACACATTGAGACAACCGTCACTCCCGCCATTTTAGAGATTCCATTGTTGCCCAGCAGACACACTACCACATGTCTACGACACACCAAACCAACAACCTCATATAATAAAGCACAGTGGTGAACTATCTAATCAGAAGTCAGGGTTTATACTGTACCTGTTTTAGGCATGGACACATGGTGGACGTAGGCAGCAGAGCCATCCTCCAGCTGGATCACCTGACCGTCCATGATCTGTCCATCAGAGAAGGAAGCTTTGGACTCATGCTGGATGTACGCAGTGGAACCATCTGCAAGAGTGACAGCCTGCAGGCTCACTGTGTCCATGTTCTCCATCTGATCACCATCTGGGAAGTTAGTTTGAAAGTTAAGAGTTGTCTTTGTCTTCTAAAAGGTAACTGGACCGTCTGTTCTTGTAGCTTGTTGTTATGACAGCGGTTAAAGGTATCAGCATCAACCTACAACCAGTGTGGGAACTCACCTGCCACTGTCACAGCCTCCGTCAGACAGAGTGTGACCGGCTGCCCGTCCGCATCATGAAACTCGGACATTCCCTGGGAGTCCCGGTTGATCTGGGCCAAGAGCATGCTGCAGCTGGCGGGGCAACAAACGGAGACGAGTTCACCCCGGTGTTCACAAGTCAAGCAAACACGAGCATCGAAACTCCACCAGAAACCTGAGCAAATGAGCCGTCTTTAAAACCTCAGTTTATCAGCGATATTTAGATTGTGAAATGTAAAACTACAAGAGCAGTTTTACATTATTCCCTGTAAATAATGGCATAGTTTCTGTAATTTGATGTATGTTCCGACATATTCATCTGCAGAGTATAAAGACACAATAGGGCTGGGCAACACCACTTAATAATAAGATCTCCTGAATTGTTTGTTTTTTTTAATACCTATTTTTCCCTCACTTTCTTCTCTAAAAAATGACAGAAAATATTTTCAAAAAGTGGCTTTTACTTCAATCATTCCTTCTGTGAATGGAGCATCAAGGCCCGCCTGAGAGATTTTGTTTAATTACAAGAACATAGTCAGAGTATCAGCAAAACGAGGATACCTTAAAAATGTTTTAGAATTGTGAAGAAAAAAAAAATTGTTTTACTAAAAAAAGCCTTGAGAGTTTGAAGTATTAACTTACCCGTGAAACTGATGCCAAAATATAACTTCACAAGTGGCTAAACATTCTTCATTCTATTTTTGTGATGGGGTTCTCATTTTCCTCATGTTACCACTTTATTCTGGCAATATTATTAATTTAATCTCAAAATTATAAGTAAAAATGAAAAATCTTCCCCCAGCCGTAATGTTCCACCATATAGCTGACCTGAGCCAGCTGCCTATTCATGGGTCTTACATATCCTGCAGTAATTTTTGTAAAGGTCCAAAAGATTGATTTTAGAGCAACTTTTACAATATGGACTCTTTCTTCTTTTTCAAGGCACATAGTTTCATTTCACGTTACAATCAGTCATCAGAAATATTTTGTAAATAGCAAATATGACTTAAAAGAAATCTGACGTAATTTTTGGGTCTCTGTCTCTTCCAGAAGCTTCTGCTCTTTCTGAAACTCCGCCTTCAGGAAGTCATCCTCGATTAACCCTTTGACAAGATTTTTACCAGTGTTGCACTGAGAATATTGAGCTCCTTCTGATTGTACACACATTTCACCAGGTGTTTGCTAATTGCTGCTGGCTAGTCTGAAGGAGCTGAGTCAGAAACTGCAGCTCCAAGAAGGAGCTACGTTCACCCAGACACTTTGTACAGCTGAATTGTTGCCATGGAGATTCAAAGATTTATCAAACATGCATGCAAGAATCGAGAAAACACTCGAGGTATTTTTTGATGAGGGAATAATGCTTTAACATGGTGTAATGCTCAAAAGTCAATTGAACACAATACTGCCCCTTTTAGCACTAAGAAAACAAAGGAAGTCATCATTGGTGGATCATATTAAAATATAGGCAGTGTGAGATAAATGTGATATTTCTGACATATTTTTTTTAGATCTTACATGAACTTTGTTGTTTTTTCTTCTTTTAAGCTAGCGCAATGAACATTTTGCTGTACACCTGGACAACAATTAAAAGGAATCTTGAATCTTTTTTATAATCTATTTCTGTAATAAATGTCTAAAAAAATAAATAAATCTATCCTTTACCTGTCTGATTAGCACATTGCTTTTCATGGCGCATAATTCTGACAAAACCTCTAAGACCTTCACAAAACAATTGTATTTGTTTAAATGAAACGCGTATGGATTAGATCCCTGGGGTATTAAAGTACAGACGCTTGGAAACCAACTTTTTAGGATCGTTACAAAAAAATTATAATAAAACTAGATTTTCCTTCTAGTATAGGTCATTTAACCTGGACTATTTCATAAGCCACGTTGAGGCTGTTATGTGTCAAAAAATGTTAAGTACAAAGACTATGAGTATTTATTTGTTATGCACAAATTAAATGACTGACTTCTATTTCAGGAAATATGTTATTCCTACTTTTTTATTATTTAATTAAACAATTTCTTGCCAAACACTGTTGTTACTCAACACTGTTTGGCACTTAATGACTTTTACCAACACTTAAGACATTTAACAACTCTTTGTATCACACAACAAGAACGTAAATAGCCATGGGCTAGCTTAGCATCAGTTTTTTATTGTGGGAAAAGTGACACCTTGGTGCAGTGAGGGACTGGTTCTTAGAGAAACGCAGCTGCTAAAAGGAACAGAACCTCGGACCAGTTGGGGAAACGTAACGGGGCCACAGAACCAGCCAGTCGCCCCCCGGTCCAGTTTTGGCGCTGGTTGGTTTACAGCTCTTTCTGGTTAGCTACAGCTGTGACTTGCATTATTTCCCCCTTTTTAATGACACGTCATACAAAGCAAAATGTTCAAATGAGTCTACTTCGGGACATGTCGGTGGAATACTAAATGGCTACTGTGCTAAACCCTCAAACACTTCGCTGCTCCACCCGCAGGACCGACATATCAAACGGGGTAAGCTAACTAGCTAACTGTCGAGCTAACGACGCAGCTAAGTGCGCTAAGCGCTGCTGACACGACTTTTTTTTCTAGCGGCGGAGAGCAAATGTTTCCTGGAAGCTGTGGTCGATGCGATCGCTTTTGTTACGCTCATCTGTTTTGTGATGTCCGAACAGACAACGTGTGGAAGGTAGAGCCAAGCTAGCTCTCCCCAATAAGCTCCCAGCCTAGTTTGACCAACTAGCAACAGCGACGGAAAACAAGACCCAGGAATCCATGAGCTAATTAATGATATAACCATTTTTGCTCGCTACATTTCTATTCGTTTTTTTTCCATTTCAAAGTATTTCTCCCGATTCCTGCCGACTCCCTTCCCGCAGCCTGTCACTCCCACTAGCAACAGCGATGGCAGTGGGAATAATGCACACTGGGTAAAAACCAATTTATATACTAACCTCTGAAAATTTCCAACAATTCCTCGTGTTCGACCACCATGCAACAGTGCAGGAAACGACCAGAGACGTTCACGAACCAGGAACATGTATGACCTATTGTTGTCCCGCCTATCATTCTACTACGGGACATGATTGGGTGGTTCTTTGTGAAGTGGCTTCCTATTGGTCCCGCAAGGCGTCGCTGGGCCTCAGGCGTAGTCATTCAGCCTCCCGGGCCCCTAGCAGGCGCCATTCCGCGCCAGTTTTCGTATTGTCTCGAGCTTTCCAGTGCCACTGCGCCCTGTCGTCGCGGAAAATAAATATTTAAGCTTTCAAACGAGATCACGGAGAGCCCACTCTATGGACTCCGAGCTGCTGTGCGCCGCTAGCTGCAGCTAAAAAGCTGCTTTTGTCGCACAAGCGTGGACGTGTGCGCAGGTTTATCGGCATCCATGTTGAAAACAAGGTCGTGTGGGAAAAAAAGGGGGAATGTGGGCAATGCAGTGAAAAGAGACTCAGTGAAATAATGTGGATTTGAAACACGGAAATATAGAGCAACGATGCATTACACGTACAAGCACGAAAGTACCCATAATCTCAACTCAAGTAAGAGTAGAATTACTTAACTTAATTTTTCTCAAGTAAAATTGGTGTTTGTGTGTGTGTGTATATATATATATATATATATTATATATATATATATATATATATATATATATACACATATATACATATATATATATATATATATATATTATATATATATATATATATATATATACATATATATACATATATATATATATATAATATATATATATATATATATATAATATATATATTATATATATATATATATATATATATATATATATATATATATATATATATATATAGTTATTTTATTGCAGAACATCTGTTTTATGTTCTTATGGCAATATTTAGAATTAATGCCATCAGAAAGACCAAGATCTCAAAGGGGTTTTATCTTGTTAAATAAAGGAAATCATAAATAATAATGATAATAAATAAGTGGTCATCTTAAGTCTAAAGTAAAAAAAGAAAAAGAAAGAAATACCATAAACCCTAAAAAAAAAAAAGTTGAGAAAGTACAGCTTTTTTTTTTTTTTTTTTTTTTGCATTTTAGAAACAAAAGGCATCTTCAAGATAGGCCTAAAATTTGGTGTTAAAATTTGGCCAAGGCCAAGTTTCTGGGAAACTTGCCCACTTCCCAGGGACTGAATTTTACAGTGTTCACTTTTGATTTTTCTTTGCACATTCTTGGTCAACAAAAAGCACAGGAGAACAGCAAAGCTTATGGACAAACAGGAAGTTTCACTTTAACAAAAAGCGAAGGCGTGTTTCTCTGGTGCATTTTTTTTCTCTATTTTTTGTCAAATCAAATCAAATTTCATTTGGTTGGCACGTTTCAGCAACAAGGCATTTCAAAGTGCTGCGCATCATGAAAACACAAGTATACAAAGTCACAGAAACAACACAGTCAATGGTCAAAACATTTTGTCAAGTGTTATTGTTCTTTTTTTTTAAAAAAAGCAACTGAAACCGGTGGCTGTTTTAGCTGAAACACTCGGTGTTTCAGCTAATTTGCTGATTTACAGAATTGTGGTTAAGTTTGGTGAAGTTACTTACAGTGAGTAGAAAACCTGGAAATGTTACTCCAGGAAGAGTTGCGATACCTCATAATGTAGGAAATGTTCCAAAAGCACTCCTCTGAGAACCCTTTAGCAACGTTTTTTACACTGAGAAGCAGCTCCTATAAAGAGCTCAGCAGATGCCACCAACTGTGGCGTCTTCATCAAAAAGGGGTAATTAGCGCCAGGCGTTTGCTAATTACTGCTGGCTAGTCTGAAGGAGCTCAGTGGGTGGACCAGAAGGAGGGGGCTGCTATGTGAAGCAGAAGTTTGGAAGCCTGAGCCTGAGGATCCGAGGTGGGGCTTCATCCTCCAAGGTCCTCCAAGGCGTTTTGCATGGGACCATTCATGACAACCATTCATGTTGGATTTTAGAAATCATTTCTAATATCCTTTTAGAAAGGGTTTCTAAAACATGCACCAAAGAAAGAACCAAAGAAATAACAACATGATACAAAGCTTTTTTATTTTATTTTTTATTTTTGACGCAGCACGAATCACTAAGTTATTCGGTGTTTTGAGGGCAGAAATCAAACCTCACACCCCGGTGTCTCCCTCACGGCGGAGGCTCCCCCTCCTCCTGGACGAGCCCCACGTCGTGCCTCGGGGTTTCCTCGGGTCTCAGAGACGAGGAAACCCCGTGGACAAGGAGGGGGCCGAGAGCTCGCGCGCCGCGCACAGACACGGCTGCGTCCTGTCTCGCGCTCGGCGCTCGCGCCCAGACCTCCTCCGCCGTTATGTTTACCGGGATGCGGGCGGAGAGCCGCAGCAGCTCGGAAGTCCTGGATGCCGCGGCGCTGAGGCAGCAGAGGAAGCTGAAACAAGCCGTCCGGTTCCTGCACAGAGACTCGGCTGACCTGCTGCCTTTGGACGGACTGAAGAAACTCGGGACGTCCAAGCAGGGAGTGAGCGCCGTTTTACGGGCCTCCGGTTGTACGGAGCGCCTTACAGTGTCTGCAATATTCATCACAACCGACCGGTTATCGTTGTCCGTATACATTTGGGGGTGTTACGTAATCAGAACAATCTGTATTTTTAGTCATATGAGTCTATATTATTTTAACCAACACGCTGTAAAGTATTTTAAACGTAACAATGAGCTAAAGAGATACTTCCCAATATTTCTAATATGGAGATTTTTTTTTTGTTTCTGCTGCAGCAGCCGCACAACGTTGTCCAGAAGAGGCTGCTGGAGCCCAGGCTGTCCCAGGGCAGGGTGGACACATACGGGGTGACCCCGAACAGCAGAGGGCGACAGCCGAGCTGTTGGCGGTGTCCAAACGACGACGACACGGAAGAGGCCGAAGAAGACCTGATTTATGTGGCTTGTAAAGTAGGTGCAGTCTGAACTGAGTCTTTAAACAGAATGATACGATTCACAACCCTTTATCCCCCCCCTACATTTAGTCACTTAGCAAAGTGTTGAAGGCATTTTATTGGGATTTAAGGAGTCCAAACACGTAGAGGAAGGAAAATGAAGGAAAACCATGACGGACTGTTGGCTTCACAGTGGACCTGTTGGGAAGGCTCTGACTTTGAATCTCAGCATGGGGTCTTAATGCATGAGGTCTGGATGGAGGGTTCTCTTCGGGTACGCTGGCTTCCTGGTGCAGTCCAAAAACATGACTGTTTGATTAACCGGTAACTTTCCTATAGGTATGATTTTGTGAGTGTGTGTGTTTGTTAGTCTTTTGTTTGGCCTTGTGGTGGAGAGGAGATCATCGCCACACCAATAACATACCTTGAAGTCTGTAGTTGCAATGTGACAAAATGTGGAAAAGTTGCAGGGTTATGAATCCTTTTGCCTGAGATTGTAAACAAATCCCATTTTCAATGTTTCAATTAACTGTTGACCTTTTTCTGGTGATTATTTTCCTCCTTCTAACCGCCATCTTGTCCTTGTTGTTACAGTGTTTCGGACAGGAAGTCCCAGTGCTGATTGACACAGGCTGTAGCATAAATTTGCTGTCTTCATCGACTGTGGATAGCTTAGGGTGAGTAGAACTCAAAAAACTCATTGTCGTCAAGAAACCCATTGTCATGCAAGTTAAAACACTTGCATACATTTTCTTCCTTTCGAAGACTGAAGGTGCTTGTTGAGGAGAACAAAATGGAGCCAGATGGGTTTCCGTTTCAACGTAGACTTTGCAGTGACGGATGCATCAGAGAGCTCAGCCTGAACATTGGAGGACTTCGAATAATGTCTTCATTCTTTATAGTGGGTGAGGAAAAGAACTATATAATGAAAAGTGAAAACAATGGTGTTTGTCATATAATTGTGGTCTACTCATATATATTTTCAGAGAGCACCAAGCCACTCTTGTCTCTGGGCAGCAAGACTTTAAAATCATTCAAGGTAAATCAATACTACTTGCTCTCGATAATCCTCGCTCTAGCGCTGTTGGTATAATGAAGGTAATGTGTGACGTACTTACACCTACATCATATACATCATCCTATGTATTTATTGGCGCCCTTGGTATGCAGATTTTTCATAGGATTTAAGTCTGGGAATGGAAGAAGGTTGGTGCAGTAAAACCCATGCCGTACCATTGAATATACCACTCAATAGTACAAGTTGGACTCCTCTAATGTTCTCCTATGTTGGTGCTGTTCAATATACTATTTTGTGTGTTTGATTGTAAAACTGACTAGAACCACATCATTCCTGGTCCCTCTTTAGTTGTAGGTCTATATGACAATGGTATGATGCAGTGAGGGTGGAACTACTGATGTCTCGCAATAAAGTCCATGGATTGGGGGAAAAGAGGTCTCTGCTTACGACAGAGAGCTTTTGTCTCTGTCCCACTGGTGTGACGCCATGTTACGTATTTTGGTTTAACACTGATTGGTCAGTGAGACTCCTACTGGTGGTAGAAATATTCTAATGAGTGCACCGTACCACAAAGTTGCGCGCTCTACCACTGTGACCCGTGCCATATCGCTCGAGACACAAGTGTCTGACGAAGCATGTCTGTGTTGATTTGGGCTTGTGTTTTGGATAATTCTGCTTTTCTACACATTGATCCTTTCTTCCACACCAGACCCACTCAAGAGTTGCTTAAAACCTCAATCTAACCCTCATAAGATGAAAGGACACAACTCCAGCTGAAGTCTTTGTAGAGCTAAACAAACTATACATCTTTAGGTTTGTGATGGTAGAGATTTTCCTCACCCTACTATCCCACTCTCTGTACGTGGTAACAAGAAAAAGTTTTGGTTTTGGCGTTTTAATTGTTGCCCTGACTGTAGATATAGGCACATTTAGAACAATAGCTCGGTGTTTCATAGAACATTGTATGTTTTCTTGTCTTTCCCATTTTGGAAACTCAGAAGAGAATTGGGCAGGTCTTATTTACCTCAGATGTTCAGGAAGTCATGGGTCCCTTGCTAAAATGTTTCTGGACACTTCTATCAACTTTAGAAAGTTATAAAAAAATACTTAATTGATCATTTAAATTGTCTATAGGAGTCACAGACATTGAGGCATCTGGGACTTTGTATTGGAAAATAGGTATCAAAATAGACATTGTGATAATTTACAAATTAGTCAATGAAATAATGCACATAAATCATTGTGATGACATATTTCATTATGGGTACGATCTGTGTTGCAGTGCGTAATTGATACTGACAAGCAGATGCTGGTGTTTGGGACAACCACAAGGGAGCAAGTTGAATTTGTTAAAAAGCCATCAAATGAAAGGTCAGACTGTCATTTTGTCTTTGTTGTTTTTGCCAAGACTTCTGAAATCAATTTGTTCATTTTTACAGTTATTGTTGTGAACAGCTGAATGACTGCAATAGCTCTCAAAATCCACAGCGCACGATTTAACTTGTTGTTGGATGCAAATGTATTTCCTTGTAAACGAGAAAAGTAAATTTTTAGATGTTATCAAAAAGAAAAAGCTGTTGACAGAGGTTTTTTTTGGTCAAAATTCACTTTATACACTTTAGCTTCAGTTTGTTTTATTTATAGGTAAATAAAAATGTAGTTAATAAAGCAAGAGAAACAAATTTGCTTCAAATCCAACTAACTACATTTTATGTGCTTGTCCTTTTTCTTCCAGTGTCCTGGATTATTGATCTTCCTGGCTCAACACAGACACACATGCACTTGCCAAAGCAGTGCTTATATAGTTCAATCACAAAAATATGGCTGCTAAAAGTACACACTCAGCATTGGAATTTAAGCTGTTTGTAATCGGGCATTCTGTCTTTACAGGCAACTTTTACTGATCTTTTCCTGGAAAGACAGTAAAACAGGAAAAAGCAAAGTTGGGTATTTTGTAAAGTAGATGCCAAACTTTTTATAAGTACTAGCACTAAAATAAATGCTAACAACACCTTCTGGAAACAAAGTCAAAGTATGCACCGTAACTACACTCTTGTTAACTTCAACATCCCGGTGTCACTTAGAACTTTAAGTGGCGTAAAGTACTCACTCCCACATTGATGCTTATTTATTGTGAAGAAGAGACAAATAATTTCATAAACCGATTACTGTTTACACATGAAGCCCATCTGATGTAGCTCTGGCTCTTGGGTTGGCCTGATGTGTCTCGTACAAGTTGTTTCCTACTGTATGTTCAATGCAGGCAGACACAAGAAGCTGTAGTGATGTTGTTTTTGTAACTCTTATGCAGATGTGATTCATACCTTGGGTTATATAAATAGGTGGGGGTTTTTTATTATTATTTGTCAAAACCAGTGTCCTATAATCATTGTTTATTACTTGGCACAATGTGTTGCGTACAGATTAGATAGACAGTTGTGGTTAAAAACACTGTGACTGATGGACATATTCCCAGAGTCTGCAGCTTTATTGCTCCGAGACGGGTGGGGTTTCTACTTAATGTCAAAGTTCACAAATAAGCATTTTATGAACTGTACCAAAAACACCAGGCTTGTTAAAAGTAGTTGAAAAAATGAATTCAGAATTAGCATTATTGGAAAAGATTCTATGCACAAACAAGCAATGTGACTTCAGTTTCAAGAACAAGCTATTTAACCCTTAGGGGACATGAGACAGAAACGGTCGGTCTTCAAAGGAACGAAGAATCAATGCACTTTATAAACAGCAGTAGACATGTTTGTGGGGAAATGAGGGATTTATGTCAATCTTTTGATCACAACTGTAAATCTCCTATATTTTATAATGTGGTAAAGTATTTTTGTAGTCTAGGTTGTATTTGTATTGTGTTCACTACCTGGTAATCTTTACAAAAGCTGTGTCGTAACACATAGCTGCAGCCAAAGCACAGGAAGGATCAAATGGAAATAAACCTATACCAGATTTTCCATGTTTTTGTATGAATTCTTTATAAATGGATGTGCACAAAAGCTCATGCTCAGTAAATTAGAATGAGGCTTGTTTGTCACATAAACACTGATGGAAGTACCTTTAATTAAGCACGTTTTTGCATATTAAAAATATTTTCATTTGGTTTTTATGTAATACTCTAATCTTAAATGTGTTTTTATAAACTGAAAGCAGAATAGCACCACAATTAACAGAAATACACTTGAAAATAGCAGTCTGTGGACAATTAGTCTATATATGTTACACTTCTAAGGATTGATACTGAAACATGGAGAGGTGCAAAAGTATCTGCATGGGTTACTCCACTGCATGTTGGATTGGTTACCATAGTGAACCAATCCACTATGGAGTGGTTCACTATGGTTTACCACAATGAATGGTTGAGAAAATATCATTAGGGATTTTAAATATAATATAAATAAGAATAATGTGGCTCAGAACCCCCAAGCACAGAATTATACTGAATTCTTATTGATTATTGATTGAGCACATCATCACCAAGGCCTGAGCTAGAATTTGTTTTTTCCCCCCCTACATTGGGACGGATACATATATTGATATTGGATCAGTGCATCGCTACCGTTTGGTATGATGCATAATAACTGTTCCTACGCTATTAAAACTTTCTAGGCCATTTTAATTATGAAAAACAGGGGTCCTGATTGGAAAAATGAGAATAAAAATTAAAAAAAAAATCATGTGAAATTGAAATATTTTATCAGGTTCAAAATGTGATTCTATGGCCAAATAAGACCCAAATTTTAAGGCTTTACAAGAAGAATCACTGAATGTAGAATGAGCTGGATGAGCGTCATCTTGGTAAATCACAGAAAATTGTGAAAAAATATATTTTATTGTTTGAAATAATAAAGCGCGGTAGCATCGCAGGTTATAAAATCCACAAATATTTACATAATGCTGGGTAAAATTCTGCTAACCATGTATAAAATGTCCAATAATATAGCTTTTCTCCATGATTTATAAAAAAAAACCAATCCATTTTCAAAGCAAAACATAAGACTTTAAAAAAAGGCAAGGAGACACACACACACACACACAAACAGCCTTAGCATTGGTCAGTTCTGTTATTGAAGCTCAGGGCGGCCAGGTCAGCTCAGCCAAGACGTCAGAGGTTAAAGGTGAGGACGACGCTCTCTCCAGGTCGAATGCTGACCAGGTGAGTCTGCGGCTGTGAATCTGGGAAACCGGCTGAGACGGAGTACGTTCCAGGTGACACCTGGATGTAAAAGTCTTCAGCCTGAGCCAAGACAGGGCTCTGAGGGAAATGCTACGGAATACATAAAGGTCATTAGCCATAAAGTGCAGCTGATGCTTTAGCTTGAAGGTAAAGCTCTTGGTCGCGTTAAAACAGACATGTTCTGACGGGCCTCACAGGTTTTCTCCTGGGCTGTGTAGGTGTCGTCTGCCCGGGTCCTGGCTGCGTGTGGAACCTGGACACGTGCTTCCTCTCGGCGGCGCTGTGCTCCCTGCAGCTGCCAGACTCATAGAACTTCTGCATAAAAAATAAAAAAAAAAAACATAATGAATAAATTAGTGTTTTCTTTTTTCTTTAGTCTCAACAGCATCTTTCATAAAGAATTCCTCCTGCTTTAACTTTTTCCACATCTTTTGATGTTAGGACCAGAAAATTCTGAACATTTAACAATCCAACAGAAGACATTTTAAACATCCAAAATAAAAAACAAACAAATATAATGAATTATGAATCTCTCTAAACAAAACTGTCCTTTAAAAAGAAATTGTGCGATTAACTGACTTACTGTGACAGGCCTAAGACTAATCGATTACTAAAACAACTGGTGCTGTACATCCATATAAAGTCTGGTTGTATCATCATGACATTATGAGGAACACTTGCATTAATTGCAATGCAGCGTATGCACAAAAAACATCAGCAGATCCTCCCTGACCTTGCAGTGCTGGCTCATCTGGGTCATGAACGTGGCGACATTTGCAAAGGCATCGCGAAGCTCCGGCTGGGTTCTCTGAAAGGTGCAGGATGAAATGAGAGCGCATTTGTTTAATGCGATGTGATGAGGCGCACAGCGGATGGCCGGAACACAAACCGACAGCAGGCACAGAAGTGGGAACCCGATAAGAATGCGTTCCCACCTCAGTAGCGTCTTGGCGGGACGTCGCCGAGGTCTGGGATGCGCTGATGCCGGTCCAGTCTACGCGGCGCCTGGACGCTCGCTCCAGCACTTCCGAGCCAAGCCTGCCCGAGCGACGCAGGGAAGACTCCAGCCAGGCCTGGTTTGCCATCAACATGTCACCTGAAAGGTCATAGGTCACATTGGCTGGAACGACCAGACTTCTTCTTAAAGAAGTCTGGTCGTTCCAGTCCGTCATTCGTTAAATTAGAACACACGTCCCGATGAGCAAACCAGTCACAATGAGCAGTTAATCAAGTCATCATGGATGGATGATTTCATAATACGTTTCATTTATGGTTTGGGTTTTGAGGGGGTTTTATATTTCTGTTTTATCATTTTTGAGTGTTATATTGGATATTTCAAATGTCTTTACAAAATCTAAGTTTTTTTATGTCTTTGAGGGTGAATACTTTTTATATTGCGTACATTACTTGGGGGACAAAAAAACCCAAAAGAAGATATTATCATTTATCATGACAATTAAACTATTCCAATAATATTATAATTTACTGAAATTGGTCTGTGACACAAAAACCAGCTTCTGTGGACTTTGGATTTTGTTTCTAAAAATCAACTATTGGAGCAGTAATCTCAACCAGTTTTGGAGAACACTGAGATATAAGTGTTTACTTATATTTTACAAAATGTAACTGAACACGTCTCAATAAGGAATTGGACTAAAACATGCATAAAACAAGGAAAAACAATGACGCTCCTGAAACCGTTTGCCTTATCTGACCTAAGGCGTGTTCTACTTCAAGCAGCTCGTTTTCGAGACAGTAGATTTGATCTAGTTTTAAAAACAAAAAATATGATGGTTGCCTTCAAGGCCAGGATTTCCTTAAAGCAATATATAAAGGCAAAACCTGTGAAGCAGGGAGTTTAAAACGTTACGTTTCAGCTGATTGCAGTAAAATCATTACTTCATTTATGAAGGAGAGACTGACCCCAAAGGAGACGTAAAGGCTTAACTTATGACATAAGCTTCTGAATGCACAAATCTTGGGGGACTGGAAACAAACTGTATGAAGGCAACTTTCACACAAGTCCAGCCCTCTTCACTGACCTCCTTGAAAAGAGAATCTAGGCATGTGGCACAATCAAAAAGCAAACAGAAAAGGGTTTCCCTAAGACAACTGAAAACGCATTGGACAAGAAGTCGGCGTGTTCTCAGCATCCGCCGTATCCAGAAGGACTCTGTCCTTTTTGTCCAGTGGAGACACAGCACTGGACCGGGATGTCCGTCTGTATTCCACTGTGCACACAGAACATGAGGGGACACAGCTGGCAGGAATGTCAAAGATGCAGATGGAAGATGGACAAGGAAAGACGTTCCGGTTCCCCCAGCTGTAAAGAACTACAGTCGGTAGCCTGGTTGTGTAAAACGTTTGGCGGTAATTTGATTCCTTCCTCGGGCTCTTTTGTTTTCTGTTTTCATTCTCCAGATGCCTGGGAGGAGTGGATGCATCAGATTGTGCTGAGCGGGTACTACCCAGCGCTCCACCAAACAAGAAAGTGATACAAAACATTATTCCATCACTTTGTGGACATTGCTGTGGTGAATACAAGTTGACTGCAGTCAGGCATCTCACACTCAAAGCTTTCCAGAAACACAGGCAAGACCAGCTCCTGGCCTGAGACTCAATAAACTGGACCATTCAGCCAAAAAGTTGGAACTCAAACATTTGCATGAACTCCAAGTGGTTCAAGAGCATTTCCGGATTCATCTCGGGTGTGCTTTTATCAGACGTTTGTAGCATTTTTGGGGACGAGGGTCAAAGAAACCACAATTTAATTGACATTAAATTATTATTTAGGTGCGCAGGTGACAAGTTAGCTTTTTCAATGGCCTAAACTGAGGTTTTAATCAGCGGCTTCACGGCGTTTAGCTTCAGAAGCTCCAAATCAAAACACTTTCGAATATGTTCGCCCGCGCGCGCCGCGGTTTCCTACCGTGTCGTCACAACAATAACTCTCCCGTCACAACGCCGCGAATCTGCTGGCTGCCGGTCCAGTTTACATCGCTGGTTCGGATGGACACGCAGCCTGGTTTATGCGAGCAGAGTAAGGACTGCGGAGAGCCGAGGCTTACGACAGGAAGTCACATTTTCCTTGACAACTGTCACTTTCTTTTCAACTGATACGACAGGAAATCCAGCTCGTTAAGCCCCGCCCCTTTCCGGACGCACGCAGATGAAACGTCACCGCGTTCCTTTGCTCGGGATAATAGATTAAATGTTTAAGACTGTCACCTCCTACTATAACTCTGAGGTTGTATTTTTGACCTAAGTTTAATTTATTATTTCTGCAATTTTTTTTTGTTAAGTTTGCAAACCTAAATCTGATTGAATCCTTAAAATTGAGTAATAAAAAGAGCAACATCTTTCTAATTACATTTTTTTTTTCTGAAATCTTTTAAATTTTTCTTTCCTAGATTTTTGTATTATTTTCTTTCTCCTGGATTTGTTCTTTGCATCCGTCTTGTACATTCTTTTCAAGGATTTGAAAAGTTTAGAAACAGAGAAAACCAGTTTTTATTTATTAGAACGCCAACATTCAGACTGAACCCATTTCCATCTTCCACTTCAGAAGCTAATGAGCAGAAAATGTGTTCACATCCAGCCATCCTAGAGCAGAATTTTTGCTGTCCCCATTCTGCCTGAACATCTGTATAACTTAATAAATGCATGCGATATGCACAAGTTTACCACTAAAATTGTCTCGTTACTAATTAATGACTTTCTAAATCCAACATTTCTCTAATTTATTCTGGAAAACCAATCAGCTGATTCACTCCAGCTTTCTATTTTCATTGAAATATAACTGAAAAGTGAACGGACTTCCCCCTGTATAAAGGAGCATTTCATAGGATAATAAGTCAGTTGTTGACACTTTGACAGTTGAAACCCGTAGGCCGTTTGTTATAAACATTTGAGTTCACTCTTGACCTTTCCTACTGCCAACAGAAATGAGACAACAAGTTCCATTTACACAGTTTATTCTGCCAAAAACAAGTAGAAAGAAACATTATGCCATCAGCACACAGGCTCCTCCCACTTCCTTGATCTTCTCCTCGGCCTTGCGGCTGAAGAACTTGGCTTTGACGATCACGGGCTGCTTGGGCAGCTTGCCTTTGCCCAGAACTTTGTAGTAACCCTGCACAGGAAAACGACGACGACGAGACCAAATTATTTATGAACACATAGCAAAAGCATCAAATATTACGTAGCTGACTGTTCGGCAGGATCAATTACAAATGGCCGGAAGCAGAAACAAAACACATGGAACTGAACCAACATTTATGTGGTGCTAGCCGAGGAAAAACATGCAATATCAGACAAATATTCATTTAACAATCATTATAAACAGATACCATTTGCTTTAGCAACCATTTTCAAGCTCTAAGGTAATCTTTATAAGTAAACAAAGAAAAATTAAAGGTGGGGAATAGAGGAAATGTAAACAGGAGGAAGGTTCTACAGAAGCTTACAAAATTTTATTTTTAATATTTAGGAAATATCCATCTAATCTGATGAACAGGAATGTACAGAGCCAATCCAGCTCATTTTCTTTCAAATTTAAGTTTTTCAATCGCAAAGAATATGTGAACCTATTCTCGCTGAATGTGTTTACCAATATTGTGTAAATATTATTTATTTTTATTACTGTTTAAATCAGAGGTTAAATCTACGACTTTTCAAATTTAACACCTTTCTGTATTAGCCACTGTGGCACAACTTCCAAATTCAAGACAGAAGGGAATATTTCTCTTCCAGTGCCTCAAAATTCTGTTCAATCTTAAGATGTGATCTTTGATTGTAAGCTTTTCATCCCTTTCCACTAAATTTGAAACATAAATCCTGCTTGAAGCTTCATTTTTGCCAAATCCACAGTTCAAAACAAACCATGTACCAAACCGCTACCACCACAAACAAACTTCTGGTTTAAACACAGACCAAAGTTCTGCCTGTGGATCCCATGAAGGGCAGATTTAGGTGAACGAATCGACGAGGAGCTTACAGCGCGCACGGCGTCGATGACGGGCGCCGGGCCCTCAGGCTTCTTGCCGTAGTTGACCCGGGTCTGCTCGCTCACCAGCGTCCACAGCTTGTCCAGGTTGATGGTGGGGCAGTAGGACGTGTTCCTCTTCAGGTGGTAATGTCTCATGCCCACCTTCCCAAAGTAGCCCGGGTGGCTGAGGAAGACAAACCGGCACTGGTTCATAACTTACAGAACAAATGAAGACGTGAGGAGCCTGAAACCATCAGACGGAGCGTTTTCATACAACAGAGGAGACAGTAACTGGTTACTCAATGTTTTGTTTTGTTTTTTGGGGGGGGACTTTGACTTATCAAGAGTTTCTTTGCTCTGGCAAGGCGCACATCTAACAATGGACTGGCAGGTTTACTACCAGAACTTATTCTGCTAATGTATTTCAAACCGTCAGCGCATTAGCTCTCTTCCAAATATGTTGTTTTTGGCTTCAGAAAAGCCAAAAACAACATCAATTGAGAGTGGGAAACTTATGTTATGTGATCGTAAGGAAGTTATATCGATTTTTGCAGCTTGCATCAAGCTTTAAAACATGCATTACAAAAAAAAAATCCCTGATAGAAACACGGCTGTTGGACCGTAAAACATTAACGTTCGGATTTGAGACATATTGGGGACCAGAAAGTCACAGACATGCATCAACATTCAAAAAAAAAAAAAAAGAAAGATAGTTTTCTTTTTGTTTGTTTGTTTTCTACTTACTATTTGTCAAAGTTGATTCTGTGGTGATGCATACCACCAGCATTACCACGACCTCCAGGATGCTTCCTGTGCTTCCCTGTGGACAGAAACCAGCTGCTCTTAGGGATGACTCTACAGGACCTGTTAACTCTGATCATTCAGCGTTGAAACCGCAGAATATGCTCACCAACGCGGCCATGTCCGTGGCTCACATGTCCTCGGAGCTTCCTGGTTTTGGACTTCTTGGTAGGCTGTCAGAAAAAACACAAAAAAAGAAGATGGTTTATGAATTTAGTGTGAACTGATTTAGCTTCACAATTGTCATTATCGATATCGATGAGAATAACTAGACATTTTCTTCAATGAAAGCCGACTTTTAACAGTTCCAATGAATCTATTTTACTAAATTAGAGCTACAAATTCACGTTTCAGCCACTAAACTCGCTGCAGTGTAGATATACTGCATGCTGTCTATGCGCTTGAAAGCTAACAGCTAAAACCACTAGCCAATGGCTAGTTATGCTACTACGACACCCAACAGCTTAAAGAAATTTCACACGGCATCCACATTATGATTTGAAGAACAAATGTTCGTGTAGTCGTTATAGTTATGTTAATGCCGAAAAAGTAGCCAAACAAGAGCTGCGGCCCTAGAAAACCCGGTTAGCACAGAGTAAAACGCTCAGAAAGCCCGATAATCTTAATAAAGTGTGGAAATAACACACAAGGACGGTCAATGACATATAAATGTATATAACGAGAATGTCAGTTTTCTATATTTTGGAAGTATAAACGAGGATGGGAACAGATTTATCTGCATTTAAGTGCACAGGAACTCCATGGTAGCACCTACCATCTTGGAGGTTAGCTGAAAGAGGAACGGGATTTGGAAACAACGCGGTTTTGTGCGAGACTTGTTGTCTCGCCAAACTCGGGCTTAACAGCCACAGCGACGCCTATTGGTACCTAGCGGAACACACACTCAGAGCGAGAGCTGATTTACATACAACGGGTCCGTTATTCAAAGTTTGCGTTACACCTTTACAGAGTGTAACTTCTCATTGGTTAAAATAGCACAGGTAGAGGAGATTCTCACCCTCCAGTGGTTGTTCAGCAGCAGACTGCCACATCAGCCGCAGCTGCTCGTCCCCACAGGAGGAATTCAGCATCATCAGAGTGGTAAGATAAACCATTTTAAACATAGTCACATCAAATATGGGCTTTTATTTTTTATTGCATTCTGTGGGGCAGACATTTTATGTAAGTTAGTTGTAAAAAAAAAAACTAATTGAAGGAAATGTTCAATGAGCAGAAAATATACCAAAAATATTATCAGATATAAAAAAAAAACATTAAAAAAGAAAAAAGAAAATAATGTCAGTAGATAGCTGAGATGCTTTGAGAGAAAATAAATCAATAAATAAAAAAAAGTGGATTGCCAAACATGACGCTGCGTCCATTTAAAACAGATGGCATGTCATTCCTGGACAACACTGCGAAGTTGAGATCACCAGACACAGGAAGGGATAGTTTGATGTATAAAAAATATGTCCTTCTAATCATATGGGACTAACACGTCATTTCAGTTTCACAGGTGTAGCTGGAGGCTGCTTGAGGAGTATTTTACAAAACAAAACTAATGCGCTAATTTCACATGCAGTGGTTAAAGTGCGTACTCAACATCTGATGTCACAGAAAAGAAATTACTCTCCAAATGAAGTTATGTTTAAAAAACCATAATGACATAGTGAGCAAGCATTTGAACGTGCTAACAGAAATTTACTGAAGGGGCAGTATTGTGTGTTTCCCAGCCATTTTATCAATTAACTTTGCTACCTTGAGTTGTTTCAATAATGCCGTACGTATCAAATATGACTCAAAAGAAATGTTACTTTTTCAATAACACCTTGAAATTGGGTCTTTGTCTCTTTAAGAAACTCCCGCTCTTTCTGAAACTCCGCCTTCAGGAAGTCATCACAACATGGCTCCTCTATTTACACTTTAACCATGTTTCTACCAGCATTTCACTGAGAAGGAGCTCCAAGAATGAGCTGATGCACAGAGGCCCACTTCCACCAGATGTTTGCGAATTGCTGCTGGCTAGTCTGAAGGAGGTCAATGGTGCGTTTTGCGCAGTTGAATGGTTGCCATGGGAAATTAAAGGATTTCTCAAACATGCATGGAGTAATCAAAGCAACACTCCAGATAGATTTTTTGATGAGGGAACAACATTAAAAGATGATATAAAGCTAAAAGAAATTCAGGGAATTTCTAGAATCATTTCTCCTCTGGTCCAGACACAAAATAAGGATTGAGTAGCCCAGGGCCTCAATTTCCTTCCTTTTTTATTTTTTATGAATGCATTGTAATTTATATAAAAGTCATAGGCTCATATTAAACAAAATTTGTTCATATTTTAGGATTTTGATGAATGTAAACAATTCTCAAATATTTGAAAAATGATGATGCTGTGGAACAATCTTGTGGGGGAACAGGATGGAGCTAATGCATTAAGCCTATCATGTATCAGTTCATACCATCTCATGGATTTGGCTACCTGTTAATGGATGGTAATTTCTATTAGCTGAAGAATTGTTCTGGGCTCCTGCCCAAAATTGGCTCCAGCCCCGGGGCCCCCATCCAGGTAAATCCGGCCCTGTTCCTCCTCCAAACATGTTGTGTGAAAAGACATCAAGAGAGTACAGGTCTCCCAGTTGTTGGGCATGTTTCAAGTCTTCTGCAGGAAACTGTAAGCAGGCTTCAGAATTCTTTTTCTTCATCAGTGGAGTGCTGTGCGGTGAGCGTGCACGGAGGCAGTTTAGCTTCTTTACTTTTTTCTTTTGTGGGGAAAAAAAAGAGCCCCCAACTGTTTCCAGGTCTTTGTGAAGCTCTCGCTCTTCGACAACTCTTCCTCTGACATAAATCCCATCCAGCTGAAGCTAGTCTATAGGGAAAGTTTCCTCTTTTCCCCTTCTGAATTACAGCACACTGGAACAAGAAGTTTAAAAATCCAACTATAAACGCTGAAGGTCTTTTTTTTTTTTTAAATGAATCATAACCAAGTTTTCTTTTTTTAAAATAACAAACTCCAGAAAAAGAAAAACAACGAAGCAGAGCGCCTGTGACGCGTTTGACACAAACACCTCACCTGTTGCGACTTCTGGTGAACCGGGCTGAATCACCAGGGGGTCTGATTCTCCATCGGCTCTCCACCAATCAGATCACTCATCTCCTCTCCCCTGACACATGGATGAGGGCCATCCCTCTCCTCTGTGGCTGTAGACTCACTCATCTTCTCCTGGATATCTGAAGTCGACATCTTGGTTTTGGATTTATTCATTCTGCACTCAGGTGAAGTTTATTTATGTTTTGATATAGTTTTGCTGCGACAGACTGGCGACCTGTCCAGGGTGTACCCCGCCTCTCGCCGGGGACGCAGCTGGAGATAGGCACCAGCACTTCCCAACCCCGTTAGAGAGAAGGGTGCTCAGAAAGTGGATGGATATAGTTTTGTTTTTGTTTTGTTTTTTAATAAATAAGTTTGTTTTCAGTGTCTCTTTCATACCTGGTGCCTTTTGTTGTATGGTTTCTAAATTTATTTATTTTTTTCTTTCAGATGGAAAATTTTGGAGAAAAATCACCCACAATGTGAGTTTGACTGATTTTTTTTTTTCTGCAGTTTTCTGTTTATCGTTTGCTCTGCCGAACACGGAGGACCTCAAACCGGCAGCAGCTCCTGTGCGTCTCCTCTCCTGCTCGTTCACCCCCAAGGGGCCCCGATCTCCGGGCGATGGCAGCCCCGACGAAGAGAAGCCATGGCAACTTTCCCTCTTCTGGGGAAAGTTGCCATGGGAAAGCCGGGTCCGGAGAGCTGCCGACGCCAGAGACGGGTCTGACGACAGCGGCGGAGGAACCGGTCCCAGAGATGGAAAATGTAACACGCACGTACTCTATTTTCATTAAAGACGAGTTAGTCATAGGCCTATAGATATTTTTGTGACACTATGGTATTTTGTTTGTTTGTTTGTTTTCAATGTAGTTCACCGTTTCTGGATTGGGCCAGTTGGAAAACTGGTCCAGGACTGAAATAAATCGAGCATCTTCTTCTGGGACACTGGAAACGCGGGCTGACAAAAGTGTCAGAGATTTACTGAAGACGATGAGGTGAGCAGCCTTGTTGCTATGACTATTATCTGTAATGTTTAAAGGAACAACTTGAGATTTTAGATACTGACACAATTGGTGCAAAATTGTCAAAAGGCACCACAAAAAAGGGATGTATATTACGTTATTATAGCTTTTTTATTTTCTATTGTCGCGTTATTTGGAGGTCAAGTGAAGTCACATGATATATTGTCACTGGAAGTGCTATACCTTGTTCTCAGGTATAGTCTGAATTACTTACTGTGAATATTGGTTGAGTATTGGCCGAATAGAAATCCATACAATAAAACATGTTTGAGTTTGCACACTGGATGCAGTTTTGCGTCAAATAATTTGAGGGGTGTCACAAGCTGCACTACATGAAAATAGACAGCAGGTGGACCCAGAGAGCTTTTAAGTTCAACACTTATTTTCTGAATCTACAATAGCTTGTGGACGGATCATCTCTCTCGGAAACATTTAGTGTAATAAAACAGTAATACAAATGAGAACAATGATAACAGCCTTTTTTTAGACCAAGTTTGAGAACAAAAGATCTCTTTTACAAGAGAGACCTGGCCTAGACTGGCAGCATACCAGTCCAGCAAGCAGCAAACATACAATAAAACATGTGAAAAAACTCAAATAAAACTAACATGCAAGATAACAAGGGGCCTAATGTAGAACCTTGTGGTTTCCCTTTGTGAATAAACTGGTCTTCAGAGGAAAACCGTCACAGTGGACAGCCAGGGTTCTTTCTTTAAGATAGTTTGCAAAGCATCCGACTGTATGTGCAGAAAACCCAGCTGATCAGTTTACACTGGCCTGAAGCCTTTTAATTTACATTCAGTCGTCACCCTGTCACTTTCTGAAAACATCTCAACGACTTTGACGATCGACTCACGTTGCCTCGGATTATTTTCCCAGGATTCATCCAGAAGCCCAGAGGATTCTGGGTAATTCCGCCATTGCCGTCGTAAGTCTGGAGCGCCTGAACTTCCAGCGTGTATCGTCATCATCTCTGCAGCCTGTGGTGTCTCTGGTCCGACTGCCTCCGCAAGCAGATGCAGTTTGTGTAGACCGTCCTCAACAGGTCTGCAAGTTCACATATTTCACTTGGATGAGACGAAGATAAGTGTGACGGTGTATTAGGGCCGCTGGAGGTCGAAATAAGGGAGTAAATCTCCACTGAAGAGCCTTGACGTTTTGGGATCAATCCAAGAAATTTGATAGAAAAAAAACAAGGGAATTTCTGAGCTTGAGAAGTTGAACATTTACCAGAAAAAGACTACAAAATGTTTGAATTCATCTCAGAAATGTTTTTGAGACAAAACAAGAACATTTCTGAGGCTTGAATAGTTGGACATTTGCTTGACTCTGGCCTTTTGAGATGAATCTGTCCAGTTGGGTTTTTTTGGTGTTTTTTTTGTGTGCAAATTTCTGACTTTTGGGGCTCGGAAACTTTCTTGTTTTCTCTCCTACAAAATGTTGGAGTTTTTCAGTGGAAAAGTCCTCCTTTTTGTTCATATCTACAATTGCCCCAATATGCCGTCGTAGATAAGTTTGCATTTTGGTTCCTTAATTCGGTTTTCTGTACTGTCTGTTGACAGAATGGGTTCAGTCCAACTCAGGAAGACATTTTGGAAGTCGGCGAAGGCCCACCCAGGTCTGACGAGTGTCAGGTAGAAACCATGTCCGCATGCTGGACTGAACCGTACTGTCCTGAAGGTTCATCATACGGAGAACCAGAGCAAGACTCGGGCTTTGACTGTGAATCCAACCCGGATCAGCCTTACATCCTTCTGGATTCCGGGTCGGACGATGGCAGAAGCGAAACAGAAACATTTTACTTGGACCCTGACGCGAAGCAGGCCGTGGTGATGGAGCTGGACCCGGAGGAGGAGGCGTACCGGGACCTGTGCCTGCAGCTGGAGGACGACCCGGAGGTCAGATGCAAAGCCGACGTATTGGAACCGGAGCTCAGCGAAGACGGCGGCGCCGACCTCTGTTGCCTGACCAAACTGGAGTCAGAATCCGGAGCGGGGTCTGGACAGACGGAGGAGAGTGAAGATTTTTGTGCCGTTTGTGTGAACGGCGGCGAGCTGCTGTGCTGCGACCGCTGCCCGAAGGTCTACCACCTGGATTGTCATGTACCTTCTCTCATTAGCTTCCCTGTGTAAGTACCGTAGGAACATGTCAAAAGTTCACTCTTTGATGACGTAGCAGACCAAAGAACATAACCACAACATGTCAAGATCTTTCAGTAGGTGAGATTGGCGTTTCATTCGGGTGTCCTTCACACCATGTTCGCCTAATTTGTTCCATAGTGGCTACAAAGCACATGAGGACACACAACTTCCCTCGCTGCAACTAAAAGGATTTCTTCAAGAAGCTGCAACCAAGAAGTAGACTTTTTGGTTGCAACTCAGGGCTGTCGAATTCATTCTGGGCCATATCAAGATTGCTGATGTTCTCAAAGGGCTGAGTTTAACAAACTATACTAATAAAACACATTAAAAAAAATAGCTGTCTCTTTTCAATAAGTTCTTAAAATTAAATATCATTGAACATCTTTTCACATTTGCGTAATTTGGTTGTATACAGACAAAAACCGCTTTGATTTGATTGATGAAATAAAAATGACAACTGTTTTCTTGACAGCTAGATAGCCATGTTCAAAACTAACCAATATATGACTTGTGATAAACCAGAAGTCATTGACTCTGACATAAGGCCTTCATTATTCTCTCCATTACTGCGACCTGCATGCTCTGCTAAGATAATGACAGAGCTGGTCGGCACTCTGGGACTGAAACTGATGGTGCAGATGCAGAAATGTCCCGTGTCTTTAAGGTATTTCTGCTAATTGCTACAGTATCCCAAAGCAGATGAGCAATCCATATCAATCGTAACGTGATTACATGACCCCAAAAAAGCAACTATGAAAAATATTCTGTATTTCCTGTGTACTAATGCTGTTGTTGTTTTCAGAGCGAAGTGAAGCTTTTAGGATTTCCTCGAGAGATCTAAGGCATTTTACAAAAACTTAAAAAAGTGATCACAGTTGGAAGAGATAGTTAACTTAAAAAATCATTTGCTTTTCATTGGGTTTTTTTTTTCTCCAGCGTTTTCATTCCTATCTCCTGATCTTAAATCGACAGAGGAGACTGGGTGTGTACGCTGTGCAGAACCGACAAGGACCCTGTGGAGAACACACACCCGTGCGGGGCGATCACAGTGCCTTACACGCTCTCCGACCAGGACCAGCGAGTAAGTTTTGACACACCATCAGCCGTCCGATTTAGATTAGGAGAGTGCTGAAAGTAAAACTTCAACTCCTTCTTCAAATCCGAGTTGCCAACAGTGTTCCTCTCTGTCCCTGTGCATTTTGTTTCCCCTGCAGAGGTGTGAGAAGCTGACTCTCATGCTGTACTGTCACCCCCTCAGCGCTCCTTTCCACGATCCCGTCAGTCCGCTGGTCAGTTCCACACAATCGCCTGAAACCGCTCCGCAACTTTAACGCCTCTTACAGAACCACCTCAGGAGAAACGTACGCCGCCAAGACGAGCCTGTCACGACCAGCCGTGATTGGACGCGGAACTGCGTGTGATATCCACGCAGTGACAAGGAATCTGAAACCTGTGTTTCTGGTTCAGGGTTACCTGGAAGGTGTTTATTGGTCAGTCTGGAATGAAAACATCAGTTTGGCCACAGATCCTTTTAAAACCCAGCTTGTGATTTGCGAAATGGGTTTTAAAAGTGTGATTGCGGCAGTCCAAGAAAAGATTCATTCAGAAAACACCGTGGTTGCCCAAGGTGTCTCTACAAGCTACTGTGTTATTGGTTTTACGTAGAGCGTGCTTTATTTTTGTTCAACTTATTTAAAAAAAAGAAGTTTGACCCCCAATTTACAACCAAGCAGACACACTTGTCTGCTTCTACTCTTAATTCCTGACGATTTTCCCCAGGCCCGAAACTACTATCAGATCATCAAGAGGCCCATTGATCTGTCAGTGATCCGAAGGAAACTGGACAAATGCAACACCCTGCATTACTTCACGGCGGAGCAGTTTGTCGACGACATCTTGCTGATGTTCAAGAACTGCGCTACTTTCAACTACGTAAGTTTAGTGTTGGGGAAATGTGGTTCCCTTCGAGTTACAGTCTGTTGGCACAACCAAGATTCTCCGGGTTTTCACCGAGCCTCCGTTTCGTCCCGGGCAGCCAGACTCGGAGGTGGCCCAGGCCGGCCGGACCCTGGAGGTGTTTTTCCTCGGCAGTCTGCAGGAGGTTTTCCCAGAGCGGACGTTCCCGTCGGCCAGCCTGGACAGGATGAACAAAGCTCGCAGCCGGTGGCTCGGCAGGAAAAGGAGACATGTCTTCAGTGGAAGGAAATTCTACCTGTAGAATACGTGCATGTCTTCTGTTTTCGTTTAGCTTTCCAGCCTATGTCAGCAAGCTTGAATCACGACATAGCTAAAGATGGGAAAACATTCACAGAGACCTTGAGGTTTGGACTGGAGTCTCTCATTTGTCAGCTGTTATTTATAATTTCACATGAAAATGTAGTGGATTGTCTTCTCTGCTTAACAGGAAGGTCAGTTTATGTCACAAATTAATTATATTTTTCTACTTTGGGGAAAAAATCCGTCCTTCAGACTTTTCAACGAGATTGGTTCAACCAGCTGTCTTGACTCTCTGTTGTTGTTCACACTTGTCCTTGCTGAATGCAGATCCCCGTCACTGGAAATAAATTCTGCCCACTATGAAAATACCTGAAGTGGCGCCACCTAGTGGTTCGCAAGACACTGCATACAAACAGCTGTTTATTTGCCGTGATGTGAGCTCAAAGTGTGACGTGGGCAGTTAGGGTTGAATCCCCAACGTAAACTCGTCCATGGTTTTTGTCCATGGCCAGTCACATTTACCAAAATAAGTGAGTTAAGAGACTAACATTTCCATTTGAGGCTGTGAATCTTAAAATATTAAAATGTTGGGTTATTAGTGGTTGTCCATAACTATTAAAAGGGTTAAGTTATCCTCAGCCTGAAAAGGTGTTGTCAGAGGGATGGAGACTAAATACAAATGCAAGAAACTGATTTTTATCTATTTTGTGTTTCGTCCCCTAAGATCCTCCGAAACGTGCAGGACTGAAATGCAGCACAATGATCAGGGTGCAAACGGCTCTCCGTGCACGGTCGTCCACCCCGTGCGTGAGTCGGCCCGTTTCTCCAGCGGTTCTTGTTCTGCTTCCATCAGCGGCCCGACTGCAGCTCCCAGGTTCACGAATCCAAATCTGCGAGTGTTTCCACTTCAGGACGCTCCGCTCAGACGCTGCTCGGCGTAAATCACCACGCACCAAAGAACCAAAGGATGCATCTTCGGCCATATCATGCGCACAGAGTTACTTTCGCTCTGTGCTTTCAAAAGACTCTTTTTAACCTTCTTCATGCTGCATCGTGTTTAGAGCTGCAGCACTTGGACTCTATGAGCATCATAAAAAGTCTTTTAAATAGGGAAGGAAAAAAAAGAATCCATTGGAAGCACTAATGAAACCCCCTCTGCTCTCCCCCCACCCCACCCTCTCCTTGTAACATTGTGTGTTTGAATGAAGTGAAAGTCTGGCCAGCACTCCTGTGGTTAATGTTCAGAATAAGTGGCGGAAACTGACCGTGAGATGTTATCACTGAGATATTTTAATGCTTTAACCCCACTTCATTCAGTCCATTAAACCCTCAGTCACATGTCGGCCTTCCTTGTTCCTCTACGGCTGCATTGACCCCCCTGACCTCCCAATCCACCGCCGCCTTCCAACGTCCTATTGTGGAGATGTTTCATTTAAGGACATCAAAGCGTTTGTTCTGTCAGTCTGAATCACCGACGCGCAAAAAATAAGGGGAAGAAAATCAGACATGCCTCCAGCTGCTAAGAGGAATGGCTCCTCTGATGATCGAGTTCTTTATGCGTTTGAACAGAACAAGATCTCCAGCGTCCGTCAGCTGTGATCGATCCGGCGGTATTCCTGACTCATGTCACAGAAGCATCGATTTAGAAACACTGCGAGAGCCGTCGCCCTTTCGAGAGCCGCACGGCTGAGATTTGTTGCAGTTCTCTGCGATTTGTGGACATTTAGACTAATTTCCTCCCTTCCACTCTCGGAAAGATGCCGCGTTAAAAACACTCGAGTCACTAAATCTTGGGCCTCCCGCTTCTCCCTTGGACACCGGAAAGCCGAGCAGATAGTTTATTACATCCCATTTTGTCCAAACGAGACAATTCCAGCCAGTCAGACAGACACGGCATTTTATGAGACAAGATGTTCCGACTTCTTTTTCCTCAGTTTTAGGCGTGCTTAGAGGGGTAGTTCAGAACCCTTTCTAGTTCTTTAAAGGCAGTAAGCAGTTTCAATAGAAATTTATGCAAAATCGACATATCCCGGCATTTTTTCCATAATAATGAGTCTATTGCGAACTTTTCAGCAAAACTGCAGGTGGCAGTATTTCCGACTTTCATTGCTCTGCTGCCTCGTCCTCACTTGATGTGACTCTAGTCCAGGTGTGTCAAACTCATTTTCGTTTTGGGCCAAATCAAGATCATGAAGGCTCTTAAAGGGCTGGTGGTGCCAGAACATGTTGATAAAATCTGTTCACAAACTGTTAATATGTCAATAAATTCTTAAAATTACATAATATTTTTGAACATCTTTTCAGTCCCTTCAGGAACTAATAATGAATGAGGCTTTTTATTTATTCACTGTATAAATCATGGACTATAATCATACATCAAGTAAATTCTCAAGAAACTGGAGGGATTGATTGATATAAATTGGCAGTAAACAGATAAAAACTGCATTGATATGATTGATAATATAATATTTAATCACACTTAGTGTTTAGTCTAGTCTGTGGAGGGCCACATAAAAAGCTACGGCGGGCCGGATTTGGCCCCCGGGCCTTGAGTTTGACACATGTGCTCTAGTCTGTGATCGATGAGGTGACCCGCTTCTTTCTCATCATCTTTCTCCTATATGAAAACAGTTTTTTTTGTTTTGTTTTTTTGCAAATTTTCTTTGAAATATTTCTTAAGTAGGACCACAAGACGTGTGACTTTCATATATATATATATATATATATATGGAGGGGGTGGGTAGAGTGTCTATTTTTTACTGTAAATGTGAAGGCCTGTCCGGTACTCAATGTATCTCTGGCTGAAGTCGAGTCTGGCTTGTTTTTGACCGGCCAAGATGGCCTTCAGCTCGTCTTTGCTCAGATTAGGCATCGACTCGCTTCCCGCACAAAAATTCTCCCTGATTCTTTAATCAGTGTTTCAGTGTTTGGTTCCTCTTTCTGCTTCCTTTGTGGCCCTTGAGTTTGGATGCGAAGCTGCAGGAAGACGACATTGTTTCCTGAATCTCTGGTTGGGTCTGCGCTCGTCTTTCAACATCTTCATGTGAACATAAAGGATTTCTTTCAAAATGAACGGGGCTCCCCCCCCCGACTCGACGTTTATCTTCAGAGAAACGGCTCATATGGCTCTCGTTGTGTTTATTTCCACTCCTCCCTTCAGCTGTGGTAGCTGGAGATCCAGAGACTTTAAGGCCTCATTAAAAAATAAATACCCTCCACAATCAAGACCCTGCTGCGGGATTCCGTTGCACGTCCGTGCGATGATCATCGGTCTTTCCACGTCAAGTGTTTGACTCGTTCATTTGCATGCATCCATAGGCCCGACGGGGAAACGCCGTCCTTTGCTTTAGTCACGTCACTGTGAAGGAACGAACCAAACCACCACCAGCGAATAAACCAGTTAGAGCTGCGGTTTGCTGACATCACGTTCAGCCCCTTGTCAAGCTAAACGCATAATGTTGGTAGCAGTGAGGTCACGTTGTAAATAGAAGTGAATGCAGTTTTAGTCATAAAAGCACTAATAACATCCAACAGTACGCAAAATCTTTAAAGTAAACGCTGCTGGTTGACGTCCTCAGAGTGAAGACTGAAGTCAGGAAACAGTTTCAGCAATAAGACGTTTTCACAGTTGGCCTTACTTTTCCAGTGGTTCCACGTCGTTTTCCTTTTGGACAGTACAAGAGTCTGCAAATTATGAATGACGACGACGATGATGATAAATAAAGTTCAGGACGAGATCTGGTGAAATGTCAAATCCTGTGTGAAATAAGAATAGAAGTTATTTCTACTGAGCAGCAGGAAAGAATGCAGTGGCCTCCATTTTCTCTTTCTCCCATATGTGTGTTTATATTTATGTGAACTTTTTGTTTAACAGCTTAAATGCGAGGATAAACTATGACTGAGCTCTATTGTAGAAGATCTGATAGTCTTTATTTTTTTTTTATTTTTTTTTTTGCAAACCAGAACTAAACAAAACTGTCAGATTTACTCTAAATATTAGAGCTGATGCATTTCCTTGATCAACCTGCCTGACAGCGGCGAATGTTTGGCTTTGAAACGCTGTTGGACCGAAAGCCACAGTTTGAATCCGACACGGCTTTCCATACGTCGGACATGCTCTGACTTCACAGAAAAAAGAAACTTCTTGGCACACGCGGCACATTTTGTGCAGACAACGCTGCTGTTCCATGGCAGCTTTCTGATGTGGATGTGGTGAAAGAGTGTGTGTGTGTGTGTGTGTGTGTGTGTGTGTGTGTGTGTGTGTGTGTGTGTGTGTGTGTGTGTGTGTGTGTGTGTGTGTGGGTCAGTGTGTTCCTGTGTGAGCACATGATGGTGTCCCATGTGACTGCGGCTCGGCAGCCTCGTGTTGATCAGCTCAGGACAGATTGGCTTCTCCTCTGCCGACTGATCAAACCGCACGGCGGATGGCGCGACCCGCCGGCTTCCAAGTAAGGAAAGGAAATAAGATTCTGGCGCAATCCCCAGCAGGAATGCCCTCCTGCAACGTGGAGCAGTCATGAGAGGAAATGTTTTCACTTTTTTTCCCAGTATATTCAGTCTCTGACTGACCAAATGTACACGCAGCCGATTTATCAGGCTTCACTGCTGTGAAGAAGAACGAGGCTCCTCACTGGTCCCTTCAGCTTTTTGATCAGCTGCAGTCTTTTTTTTTATTTAAAATGTTTTTTTTTTTTTTTACATATTTGTTAAAAGTGTCACCATGTCATGACAATATAATACGAGATGAATAATCTGTGAAAAGATGGAGCTCCTCCGCCTCCTCTCTGCTGCTTGACTCCAGTCAAGCAGCCAATCAGAGCCAGGAGGCGGGCCTTAACGCTGACAGTCAGCTCGTCTACGTGCTGCTTCAGGCGATGCTACAGAAAAACTCTTTAACCGGCGTCATCAGGGGCCAGGTTTAGCATTCCTGGCTCTCAGAGCGAGGAGGAGACATGAGTGGTGCATACATGAGCATGATTGACAGCGCTAAAACTCCTGGCTCTTACTTGTTATATATAGCTAGCACTGGAAGCACTGGGAGAAGACAGAGAAGACATTTTTTTTCACAGATTATCTCTCTCATATTATACTGACACAGCATAGTGTCAGTCTCAACGAATTTTAGTGTCCAATTCACATTCATTCTTGTCTCAATTTTATATTTAATTTATTCTGCAAATGCTAACTCTGTTTTTGAACATAAATTGTTTACATTTTGATGTTCAAAGCAAGGCTCATAATACAGCTTATAGTACAGTTGAGCGTTTTAGCATTTCAAATTATTTCAGAGAAAGCTCAGTGCGTTAACTGTTTGAAAAGGTTAAAAGGTTACGATTAAACGTTTAGTGGAAGTGCGCTCACCACTTCACCACTTCCTGTTTGCTCTGCTCATCTTTGTTGACGTTGTTGGCAATCCGTGTTTGTTGTTGTGGACGGCGACGGAGCACAACTGAATCCGACCCGTTTTCACTATTTACTGATGAGCGGCTCGCAGAACCTGACGTGGTCCGTTTGTGAGTTCCGTCCACATCTGAGCACACAGCACCGAAAGGTTCTCTGGAACCAATTATGTTTCGCCTCAGACAGAAAGGATTTTCAGGGCATACGATATGTAAACATCAGCAAATGGAAAGAGGGCGACTCGGTAAACATTTCAAAAGCGGACCCGAACCGCACGCCGTGTCACACAAACGGACTTGGACTCACACAATGCGGTCGGGTTGCTTTCATTTGTCTGTTGTGGCTCATTTGTTAACACTTGCAAAAGTTCAAATTCTTGATCCCGGAGACCAAAAAACAAAAAAAACAAAAACGGCACCGGCCCGTGTTCTTTGCAGAAGCAGAATCGGAGAGAAACCTTCACCGACCAGGTTTCTGAGTAGATGTGACTTCGCCATACGGTCCACCAAGAGCGGAGGCTGAAAGCAGGGCTGTCGTGTTTCTGTTGCCAGGAGATGCTGGAAGCACAAAGCAAGACCAAATACAGACATTTTGAAGATGGACCCAAAACTCAGCTGGACAGATTCAGAAGAAGGTCGGGAGAGGCAGAAATGTTTTGGAACCCATCGCTCACTCAACTTTTGGCTCTGCTGGCCAGCAAAACAAACATTCCTTGCACTAATTACGACCCTGCTTGCTGAAAGAGACGGATTGCTCGTCTTAACTGATTCCGTTTGATGCCAAGAGTGTGACTGATGGGTCCGTCTGGCTGACCCTCACCGTGATTTGGACTCAAAACCTTAACCTTATTGCGCCACTATTCATCACAGTGCTTTAGTTTTAGGAAAGAGCGACCATAAATTTTCTGTATTGTGCCACCCGCAGCGACATTTGCCTGAACTCTCCAACTTTTTCAACAACCGCCACGTTTCCGTCCAATTGTGACGCGAACTTACGAAATGTCGCACAAAAGAAAATGCGAACTAGGCGCGTTTCCATCTGCTGGCTTGAAGCCGATCTAAGGTACAAACCCACTAGCGGATGGGAAAGTTTGTGACATCAGAGCTCAGTTGGCGAACATGTCTCCGGTTCCTCTTGTTTTTCAGGCAATTCAAAAGCCGCCTCAAGCCGACGCAAAAAAACTTTCCTCTGCGAAATTTGTAAGGGCTTTTTCTCACTAGACCGTTTCCATCGACCTTTTCTATCGCGATACTTTCGGAAAGTATCGCGATGGTATCGCGAGATTATTCCCATCGTGGAATAATCTCGATGGGAACGTTGTCATCGAAGTTCTGAGGTAAGTTTGTCCACATCGTCACAGCACGGTATCGATGTGTCGAATATTCCAGACAGAGATTCATTCAGTGTCACTTGGAACAAAGCCGCAGTGTGAAATGTGGAAAAAGCTTAACGCTGTGCATACTTTCCGGAGGCACCGCACAGCCAAAGCTACAAAAAAAAGTGAAATAATCGACGATTAATGATTAGAGGACGTCTGTTCATAGATGTTTTCCAAACCGTTCTGATTAAAATTGAGCTGTTTTACAAAGCACCTGCCAAAAAATACAATCCTTAATGGGCAAAGCTGGTAAAGACATGCAGCTGGACCTGCAGGCAAACATGGTCTTATGAGGAATTGACTCATGGGGCCTAAATATAAAAATGTTTGTCACTCTGAGGATATGAACATCCAAAAAACACAAAAACCCTTGTGTCACTTTGATTGCACAAAATTTCGCACTACTTTTTCTCGATCTGAAAGATAAAAAAAATAGGAAAAAATACACTGAAGGCTGTGGAAAAAGCTGCTAAAGAAAATTCACATTTCAGCGAGAATAAGGAACATCTGACGCATAAAGAGCTTTATGCAGAAATATAAAAAATCCAAGCAGGCAAGAAGCTTTTATTGAACGAAATGTTATTCGGGAACAGAAAGCGTCAATTTTTCTTGCACATCTTAAAGGTTTTTCTTTGAAGCCTTTTCGTACTTCACACAAAAACTGAACATTTGTGTCGGATCAGGTTCTTTGTGGCATCGATGCTTTTGTTATTGAAAAGCTCACGTTTGTGAGGAAACATATGTGGGAAAAACTCATCAAGATCTTGTGTTGTTGTTTTTTTTAATCGACTTTAAAATTATGCAAATCGGAGCCGCAGAAATAAATTAGCTCAGTGGAAACACAGCAATATGAAAAAAGGATAATAATTCTTTTTTTTTTTAAATCGCGTTGCTTTTTCGGCCGTGTCAAAATTTGCGTTGTTTGAGCCATATGTATACATTTTTGGAACCTTGTGCAAAATGTCACTTTTAAGTGTATTTTATTTGTCACTCTGCTATTTGAAAAAAGATAAGCATCTGTAATTGCATCATGTTTAATCTCATTACGTGGCGCCTTCTGATTGGTTATTGACTAATTGGTTCATAAAAGACGAAGGCATTGTGGAAGTCTGGCACCTTGAGAGTAACACTCAGTCTCTTGACCGTCACTTTCTGTTTGTTTTGAACCTGTTTGTTATTTTTGTTTCCTTTTATTAGGTCCAGTGAAAACTTACAGATAACCGTCAGATTCAAACTGCAGCGCAAACTCTTTTCTTTTCTTCAATAACAAATGGATGTTACTCCTGGCAAAAACGACAAAGATGTCAACAGGAAGTGTTTTTTTTAACAACTTGTTGTCTGAACAAACTTATTCACCTATTATTGATTTGAATTAATTAGTGGAAACACTGCATTTGTGCAATTAAGTTTTTGTTTTTTTCCAAGTTCAGAGGAATATTGACAAAGTTTTGCTCTCATTAACCAGCTGAACGACGTCCACCAAGATGGACTGGCCTCCATGCAACACTTGTGGGAGCCCGTCAAGCACATCAATCAAGCCGTCCCACAGCAGTGCGTGACCGCGCTGATGACCAGAACAAAGAAATCCTTCTCTCACGAAGACCTGGTTTATTGAAAACAGATACATTTATCTTAATCACCCGGCGTGCAATGATTCACGAACAACGATCGGCTCTGAGTGTCCCAGGAGGAAATGAGCTCCGTCATCGTCAGTGTATGAAAAATAACAGAAAGGCTCACAGATGACAGAGAGCTCTACAGTTACGCTGTTAAGGGCAGGATCAGCAGAATAGGTTCAGTCGTTCTTGGCCTGTGAGTGACCCCCCGCCCCCCGTGTGGGAGGGAGGCAGAGACGGAAAAGATACAGAAGAAATAAAGCGAGGAGGGGAAAGGAAGACGAAAATGAAAACAGAGAGGGGAGGGAGAGAGAGCTGCAGGATAACAGAAAGGGAGAAAACAGACGAGGGGGAGAGAGAGAGAAACGTCCTGTAAAGCTCCTGGAACACAGGAACAAAAGGAGGGAGGGGGATTGCTTCTCTCTTCTCTCCCTCTGGCTTTAAAAAGTGAAACCGCTTTTTGTAGAGGGGAGGTGGGAGAGTGTGTGTGTGTGTGTGTGTGTGTGTAGTGTGGGCACAGTGCTGCACCTTCACCATCCCATCTGCACTGTCAGGAGTATTTAATGCAGGGAGCCCGACCCGAATCCCAGAAGCGACGCGGAGCTGCGGCCGAGGACCCGACGCCACGACGAGCATGAACGACGTCAAGCTGGCCCTGCTGGGGAGCCAGGGGGCCGGCAAGTCAGGTGGGCCACGAGAACAACTGGGAAAGATCAATATTTACCCCGTTTTCTCATCTTTTTTTATTGTTGTTGTTTTCTTTGCTGGAACTCAGTGAAAAAATGTGTTGATGCAAATAGATCATTTTAGACGAGAACTTAGTGACAAACCAGATTCCTCTACTTATTCCTGAGATGGAAAGAATAAAATAGATGTTTGGGTTTTTTTTTTGTTGTTGACTAGATTATTTTTTTCTGCTTCACTTATAAATATAATCTTTTCAAAATGGCAGAAAAAAGCCCAAAAAACCACCACCACCGCGTGAGCAGAAACAGGATGTACATCAGACGTCCCTTCTGTCAGCTGCGTCCCTCTGAGAGATGCTGCTGGAAATTTCAGCTAATTGGTCAATTAATTAATCAATCGCTAATGACTCAGTAGTACTTGACCACCATTCCTGCCTGCTCTTCTCAAGAAGCTGAAATCTGAAATTTTAAAGCGAAACAAAATCTGCTCCACTGACCAAGTTAAATCCAAATGTGACATCTATTTATATATTTAGCCGTTTAGTTTTTCAAGCATTTACATCTATTCATTCTTGTATAATTTCTTTCTTTCTTTTTTTTCCCACTTAGGCCTGACAGTAACGTGTCTTCTTCTTAAATCAGCCTTTCAGATCTGAAAAGATGAATAGGGTTGAATATTTTTTGCATGAATCCTGTTTGTCTGTTTCCGCGAGACGTTTCACGTTTTCTCATGTGAAACCTTTGAGGATGGTTGCAATATAGCTGCAATGAAAATAAATCAAAAATAATAAGAATGAAGGCGCTGAGAACATTTTGAATTACGTCATTGACATTTCTCTCGTAACATTAAGTTGACAACTATTTTCAAGGGAAGGATATTCTTTATTCTCTTCTTCATCTCTTTAATAATAATAATAATAATTAGGATTCTTTTGCAAGTTAACAAAAGAATCCTAATTATTTTTACTGGCGCAATTACAAAAAAACCAAACAAACTAAACCGGAGCAATTTTTGCCGAGTTCGACTAGATTCATCGACTAGAATGAATCATATTTTGACCCGGGTATATATATATATATATATACTTTTCATTTTTTGGGGGGGCAAAATGAAATTGTTCCAATTTTAATCAAAGAGAAGTGGAAGAAAAGCATCCAGCAGCTGGCACCACTCCCAGCAGGCTCATTTCAGTTCTTAGATGCTTTCACTTCTCCGCACTCCAACCCTAACGGAAAACCACAACATTAGTTTGTGACACGGAAGGCACAGCCGGGAGCCTCGACGCGTATCGGCCAAACTGGCCGGTAGGGGGTTTGGAGGCTCGATGGTACCAATATTTGTCCAACTGTGAGAACAGAGAAGAAACTGGATGTGTTTCATTTCTCTGCTGGGCGACTGGCAGCGGCAAGAACCTGAAGTGACTTCGGACTGCGGAGCGCTTTTGTCTTTATTTTTAAATCCTGTTCATTTTGACTGGATTATCTGGATCAAACTAAACATTTAGATGGGAATGAAAAAGAGAAAAGCAGAATTAAATCATGTCACAATGACTAGAGTGCAAACAGAAATGAAGCAGCTTACATTGTGGAAATGAAGATCCAAATAAGCAGGTTGTAAAGAGAGAGAGAGAGAAAAAAACCCACTAATGTTTAACGGCAACTTTTCCCGTTATCTTCCAGGCTGAACAGGCTCCATCTGCTTTGAGCCTCTGCCTTGTTTTTTGACACAGCCGCCTTAAACCGGTCGGCTGATTTCAGGGCCAGATGTGAAACAAAAGGAGCAGAAAGAGAACCGAGACATTTAAAAGCCAAGGGAAGGAATTTTCAAATCATTTCTCTGTCACACAAGGAAGCCGGTGAAGAGCAGAGTGAACAGGCCAGATCGGTTTCCCTCACCGGTTCTTGCAAAACAGCCGACATCGTACGCATTTTGACACGTCGCTTAAATCCAAACGGATTAGAAAGGCATACGTTTCAAAATAAAAGTTAGGCTGATTTATGTTGAATTGTCGGGTTATATTGAGTGACTACAGACTTAGTACGTGATTTAAAGGTTTAATCACAGTCAACAGTTTTATCAACACAACTGTCTAAAATGTCACCCAGTGGCTGCGCCAGCTCGACACTATGAAGCTTACCAGATTGCGCGCGCTGTGAGCATCAGATCTACTAACAGACTTCTGTTAGTATCTTGTCTAGCCAGCCGACGGTTTGTTTTGAACGTCTCCCCTCTGTAAACGATGTACGTCTCCTGAGAAGCTTCTGCTGTTTCCACTCTGGATTTGATCTCTGCACGGCGTTCCCTCTCAGCTTCAACAGTCAGAACCACAGCAAAAAATAAATAAATCTCTAAGACAGACCTTTGAAATCCTAAATGGTGTCTGAAAAATGTAAAAAGGCCACTAAAAAAGTTTTTTTAAAAAGCCACCACTCTAGTGCGGATTTAGTGCAGGTCGGTTTTCTCATTTTTTTCACTGGCTTGTGCCTTACCAACAACCTGTCCTTTGTTCTTTTGTTTGTTCAAAAGAACAAAGAAAGAAATGGACCTCCATCACAGCTAAAACACACAAGAACTGCAATCACTAAAATCTCCTCGTCTCGCCACAGAACAGGGAAGAAATGAGTTGAAGGGAACTGACAGAGAAATCAACCGTCTGAGCACTGAACCTGCTGAAGTTCTTCTTCTTTTTGTTTTATGGCAGTTGGCAAACAACTCTTAGGTGCATTACCGCCACCTTCCAACCTGCTGAAGTTCAAATGTCACCCAGGCTTTTGTGCAGTCCACCGATGAGGGGGAAGTGGTTCCAGGTGTGTGACAGCAGGCCTGCAAACAAAACTTAGCAGAGGTGGGACCTGGAGAATGAGGACCCCTAGAGGCCAGTGGAGGGTCTGGGCCCTCTGGACTCTGTTCCTGCATGCTTGGGTCCGCTCGTTACCACTTCTGCTCTGCTTGTTGCGCTCTGTGCTCGGTTTTGTTCTCGGCCGCTTCGGCCTTTCTGCTGTGACAAGAACTTCCGACGCGCTAAAGCACAATGAGATGTAAGCCCTCTGGGTCTTTTCCGAATTGAAACAACAGTGTGTGTGTCTGTGTGTGTGTGTGTGTGTGTGTGTGTGTGTGTGTGTGTGTGTGTGTGTGTGTGTGTGTGTGCTGAGGCCTACCGTCATTAAAGTTCTGTTCTGGGGCCAACAATTGAAACTTGTTGTCTGTGGGACCAGAACTGGCCCCCGGTCAGTCGGTTTGGACCCGCTCGGTGTGCCAAACACGCACACAAAACCTTTCCCAGCAAAGCGCCGCGGCCCGTTTGATGCGGAGCTGAAGGTTTTCACCGTTCCAGGCCCAGAACCTGTTGGCTCTGAGTCGGGCCTGCACAGATAAATGAAGCTTTTTTCTTTTTCTTTTTTCTTTCACACCTCATTCCTTCACTTGTGAGAAACGAGACTTTAATGACCCCAGTGCTTCACATTGCTGTTTTTTTCCCCTTCTTCTTCTGTCCAGCTGTCCTTGTGCGATTCCTGACCAGACGCTTCATCGGTGAATACGCCTCGAATGCAAGTAAGTGTTTCCAGATTTCAGAAAGCCTTTCTGCTCTTAAAAAGCTTCAGTCGAAGACCCCAAATACCCCGAGCTGCTGCCGGATGCAGATCAGTGAAGGTTCGTTTCACCTCTTTGTCGTTTCCTTTGACTGAAAAATGTTTCTTATCCAAACCTGAAACCTAATCATCTAAGGTGGGTTTTTTTTTTTTTTTTTTTTCCTGATTGATTTTTATGACTTTTAAAAATCACCAACCGAACAGAAACTACTCAGAATTAATTGGGTGTGATCAAAGAAAAGTTCATAATCTTTCATTTTTTTCCAGAAATCAGCTTTACCAAACAATCACGTTTAATGGGAAAGGTCATTGTTGGAGTTTTTCACCTGCCCATCAAAAAAAAAAAAACCCTCAAATAATATGCAATCAGTTGGAATTACAAAAAACATTTGTGCATTTTTAGATATTTATTTGACTTACCTATTAAAAAGTACCCAGAAAAAGCAGTGAGAGCCTGCAAAATGAGGGTAGAAATTAGCAAAGTGAAAAAATGTACTGAATTACACATTTACCTGACGACTCTGCACCAATGCAGCAACACTTAAATACACCAGTATCCTGGTCAAACATGTAAAAACAACTTCAGTTTGTTTACTGAGCGCATTTAGAAGCATAACGTAAAAGAGACACTGAGAAACTGACAAAGACAAAATTAGAAAATCTAAATACATTGTCAAATAAATAATAAAGCATGATGTCTCTCAGAGTTTAAAGCATAGAATTAGACTAAATAGATCTGCCCTCGTGGGTCAGGAACACGAAACCCAATCTAGTATTTCTTTATTTATTTTATTTTTCCAATAACAAGACCGATATTGATATCGGACCGGTGCGTCGATTTAAAATCCGTGCAAACGAACAAGACCGCGCGCGGTTAATTTCACAATGTTTGTCACTCAGAAACCACAAAATGCACAAATCAAACAGAATCAAGCTGCAATGATATTAATGCCTACAGGTTTTGTCCTTTCTCTCTCTCCTGCGTCTCGATTGCAGACTCTTTGTACCACAAGAGGCTGTCGATCGACGGCCGGCAGCTGAACCTCGAAGTGTTTGACCCCTGCTCTCAGGTACGGCTCACATCTCAAGCCCAGGCTTACGGAGCCCAGGTTGGGCTTTCCTGCTCCGGATCCTCTTTATTTTCAGCGTCCGTTGCTTTTGATAGACAAAAGTCATCTTCTAGACGAGTTGTTTTTTCCGGCTGGACGTAGTCACACCAGGAACAGATTACGTCTTTTTCTTTTTTGTTCCACATTCCAACTGCAAAACTCCAAATCTTTCTACAAATCCGAAAAGTGTGGCATGTGCAGGTGAAATCAGACGATGGCCGACGCCGAATACAAAGACACGCACCTTTTTCTTGTTTTTGTCAGCGTCCGAAGTGAAATCAGGCCAAAGTTTTCTTGTTTTAGTTCAGTTAGACCCAAAATATTTCTGTTCGCTAAATGCTGGAATAATGAGAGGAAGAACATGTCAGAGACTTTCTTATGAACATGTTCAAAATCAGAAGCTTACACACAGAGCGATTACTGTCTCTTCAAACAACGAGGGAACGCCCAGATGGAGACATGGTGAGGAACTGGTGCACTTCACGAAATTCATACAAAGGCAACGCTGACAAATACAGAGGAAACTTATGTAAAGTTTAAGTGACTCTGCATGATTGTAATACAAGTATTCATACAGTGGTGTATGAGTACTTCTACGAGGTGTTATATGTAGCTTTCAGACATGAAAATTGCATAAGATACGCATATTAGGTAGCTAATAACATTTGCAGAATATACAATTTAATTAAAGCTGCTTCTTTTTTTTTTGTTGCACTTTTGTAGTGATTTTACAATAAAAGCACATGCGCCCCCTGTCCGCAGAGCTCCGAGGCCCGGTGCATCCTGGAGGAGCCAGTGGACTGGGCAGACGGTTTCGTGGTGGTGTACAACATCAGCGACCGCTCCTCCTTCGTCAACGCCAAAAGCATCCTGCGGCAGATCCGGGAGGCGCGCACCGACAGCTGCAAAGGGTCAGCGGCAACGCGACTCAACACGGCCACAGAGAGCGGTAGATCAGAAATAGCGACACGCTGCCATCACGCAGCTGTAAGGAGCTCTGGCGGCTCAGAGGTTTGCTTTTCCTGTTCGCCTCTGATTGTTCTGCGGTTAGAAATGTGCCCTGCTGTAGACGTTTAGCGGGGTTAGGGTTAGAAAGTTACTACAGCGGCGTGTTAGAGCCGTTGTAGATAAGGCGGAAAAAAGAGGTGTGCATTTCTGAAAAAAATAAATAAAAGATAACCTTGGAAATTTATGAATTTGAAAAGCCAAAAATTTGCTGAAACAACCTTCTGAAATTTTGAGATGAACCCTTTTAATACTTTTAAAAGTAAAAAATATGGCAGACTGCGTTTTGACAGAGAAACTATAAAAATTTCCCCAATAAACAAAATGTGCAATATACTACAAAAACGACACTGAAACCAGTGACAAAAGCTAAATTATACAAACAGAAACTCTAAGCAACATTGGTTGGGTCAATTCTTCTGTCTGGTTTGACTATAATATCTCTAAAAGCAACCCTCCATAATTGTTGCTCTAACTGACTGCAGAAATCACATCCCCAAAGTGGTTCGGGGAGAAAAGTCATTTTTAATGTCAACTCCTAAAATCTAAACAGGCACCAGTACAAACATTTGGGCTGATATCAATATCTGGTTTTAATATTGCCATTATGGTCGATAACCGATATTTTTAGTTAATACACACATTTCACTACCATTTTGACACCATCATTTAAAAAAAAATACAAATAAAAGTGAACATTCCTTAGAAAAAAAATGTTTTTTTTGTTGCTGTTGTTTTTGATTCCGTAGCACCTTATGATCATAAATCTTAATGAGCAGCGTGACTTTCCCTCTGACGAAGGGAACCGTTCCAACAAAAGGCATTCCTTCTCATAACTGGACTGTTGGTTTATGAGAGAATATTTAAACAAGGGAAATGGTTGGAATTATTTACATCTGCTGCACCCACGCATCCCCAAGAATGAAAAAGCAACAAAAAAAAATGCGGCAGGGGGGACGGGACGAAAACAAGAGCTCCACTCGGCTCTTTGAAGATGAACTGGGGTCTTTGTGCAGGTTCGGGTTTGTGGAACGACCCCGGCCGGGCCGGGTGCGTACTGATTAACGGTCCGAGACCACGGGCGAGGGAAAGCAAGCCGAGCCACATCAGCCGGGCAACATGGCTCAGGAAAATTCATCCTCTTCAAGGGAAGAGGAGGGAAGGAGGAGATCGTTCACTCACGGTGAAGATCAGACGAAGATCTGAATGTCGCATTTGTACGCTGGGACCAGGGAGGCACTGATCCACTTTTTCACTTCCGATACCGATATCTGAGGTCTAGTGTCGATACCGATACAGAAAAACAGTCTCAACTGAGTTGACTTAAACCTTTATAATAATTACAGCCACGTCTGTCCAGAAAATTTTACTGAAAAGCCGACTTTGCTGCGCCAAAATCAGCATCGACTCAACTGATTAAATTTGGCTAAAAATTAGCAAATGTTCTGAAAGACAGTGACACGAAGCCAAAAAGAACAACTAGATCTTTAGATATATATATATCTATATATATCTTTTGATACGTGAAAAAGCTGTTTTAAAGTTTTGGATCTGCAATGAATAACATCCGTTTCCTGCAACAAAAAAAAAAAAGAAAAAAAAGTAAAATAAAAATGTGACTGTTTTTGTTTTCATTATCGGGGTCAATACCAATATCGATACCAAGCTGGAACAGCCGGCTCACACTCAGAAGAGACCCGTTTTTTGGTTCAGAAATGTGTCCAGACGTAGGACGTGTAACGATAGTCCAAGCTGACGCTCGTTCCCGTTCCAGGGACTCGGACGTTCCCGTGTGCCTGGTGGGCAACAAGCAGGACCTGTGCCACGTCCGGCAGGTGCGAGAGGACGAAGGCCGCCGGCTGGCGCAGGAAACCCGCTGCCACTTCCAGGAAGTGTCGGCGGCTGAGAGCTACCAGGACATTGCTGGCCTCTTCACCCGGCTCATCCGCCAGGTGATGGAGCACCTGAAGTACCGAGCCGACCGCCGGCGCTACAGCGGCTCCAAGTCCATGGCCAAGCTCATCAACAACGTGTTTGGCAAGAGGAGGAAATCAGTGTGACGGTCCCAGCTGGAGAGTGACATGAAAACAAAGTCAGGCTGGGTGAACTGAGAGGTTGCTTCTTTCTTCTTCTTCTTTTCCAACAAAGCCATAGTCGAGGCACGCAGCAGAGCTTCATGTTCATTCGGTACCGTTGAAACGTACTCCTGAACATCTCCACTTGTCACGCTACGGCCACGACTTTAATCTACTTTCTTGTATAAGACATACAAAGTGGTGCATGACTGTAAAATGAAGCTTGGTTTATGAATATTCTTTGCAAATGAAACTTCCCCTTTGGCCCAACTTAGGTCTAGTCAGAGATTTTCCATTGGATTTAGCTTTAGACATTGACTAGGCCACAGGAGCACCTGAATGTGCTTTGACCTAAAGCAAAACAGCAGCTGCTGTCGACGTTTCTGTTTTTGTGTGTGTTTTTTTTTTGCTAATGTTGAAAAAACTATTTTGCAATTGCGGTATTTCCAATAAAAAAAGTAAAATAAAAGAAAACGCATTTAAAATCACGTGAATAATTACGTTCAGGCGATGAGTCAATTAAAACACATGTTTTTCTGAACCATCTTGAATTATCTTGCATACTTTATTCTCACTGTTCAATTATTCGTTGTTTCACAAACACAAAGGCTCTTCATAATAAAAGAGGCAATAATGTTTTCCTTTCTCAAATCGAATTTGCTTTTTCTTTCTTTCTTTCTTTCTTTCTTTCCTCATTTTGCTCAGAACACAGTTCTTGTTGTAGCTCGAGGCAGATTCACGACACGACAACACGTATGAGAAATGATTAGTGGTTGAAAAGCCAATGACAGAGAAATGTCCAAGTCCGGCCAACTCTTAAATTGTGCTTTTGCTCAAGGTAGGACGGAGACGACGGCCAGCTAAACGCTGCAGCTTGCCAAATCTTTAAAAAAAAAAAAAAACTGTAAATCTGTAGCCATTGTGCACTGCTGGCTGTTGTCCTGTGTTATAACTCTTCTTCTGGTAAATCAGGGCATTTCCTGCATGCTTTCCCTCTACTCACCTGATTTATTTAGCAATTTCTCTTAAATGGATATTCAGATTTTGGCAGAAACCGGGACAAAATTTAAAGAGTGTCAGTGTGTGAGATTGTTTGCATTTCCTGTCTGGATTAAACTTTTCAGATGCTTTTTATTTAGCAACGCTGCAAGCTGTTAGCTGAGTGTCGCTATAGGAGGGAGTGATGGGGACTAACAGCTGGATTCGATGTATTTTACTGAAAAATATATCTGATGCACATCATGTAAAGGGTTATAAACATACTTCGTTGTGATGCTACTCCTGGAAAGCTGTAGTCTTGACTGAATGAAGGATAAAGGGTAAAATATGTTTCATGTTGTCGTGTCTTCGTCAGTGTTTCGTTCCTCCATGCAGCGGAGCCAAATGCAATCTTTTACTAAGTAAAACTGAACTCAAGATTCATGTAGAAATATATTTTCTCAAGTATTTTTTTTTTCTCCTCAACAACCGCTGAACATAAGAGTGGCCAACAGAAATCGTTAACCCGCCACCGCCGTGCTTCACAGTTGGTGTTGGGTACTTTAGGTGACATTTTGTGTTTACTTTTCACCAAACAAGCCACTATCAAACTGCTCTGTCTGGTATCAATGCTGGAATTTCTCCACTGTGGGACGAAAAAATAAATTTCTATTTCTAGTCCCTGATCTCCGACCATCTTGGCTTCTGACCTACAAAATAACAAAGGAAAAGGCCAAGCAGCTCATTTGGTGGCTTTCATTTAGTTGTCTATATTTACGTCTTTCAACAATGAAAGTGTGTTCAAATGATGGGTTTATATATATAGATATGTTGGAAATTTTATGTAATTAGTAAAGAAAAGGTTATAAAACGAACCAAGAAAGCCAGTTAAGGGCATGAACTCTGATGTTTTTCCACTTGGAGTGACATCATGCCTCAGACTCTGCACACAATTGCAAACGTGTTCTTATATAGAGCGATTTGGAGACCAATGTTCCCTCTGTAAATGCCTTTAAAACACTGCTTGTTCCAGAGGAAATTAAAGCTAAACATTTCATAACACGGCGGCTATTTCAGCTCCTCAGCGGGCTGCGCCGATGCTTTGAGCTTAACTTTAATTAGACGACCACCAGAGGAGGCTTTTCTGCTGCAAAAGAGGAATTTCTTGTGTGTGTGTGTTTGTTTTTGTTTTTTTTTTTTTTTGCTAAAAATAGCCCGACTGAAGGTGGAAAGAGTGTGAAGCAATTTCCACAAACTAATCAGTTGGGAGGTTTTCCACTAGATGGCAGCACAGATATCAAAACGCGTTGTGATTTTTTTTTTCTTCTTTCTATGGAAAGGAGGATTTAATAATTCCTTCCTCTTGGTACTTGATAAACCGTGTAATAGAGTAATTTAAGAGAGCCACTTTGAAGCACGTGTCGCAGCAGATAAAGTATAACTACATCAATCATGGCTGCACTCCACTAAAGGGAGGCCATTTTCAGACATTTACATGATCTGTCACTTCTTTTTTGTGCATAGAAGGAATCTGGAAATCATTGGAATCGTTTCAGAAAGGCCCGGCGGGACACAATGGGACAATGAAGAATTACTAGTGGGAGAAAATGATGTGGCAAAGGGAAGAAAAATGGATTAGGACATAAACAGTCCCCCCACCAAAAAAAAGATCTATGGCTGCGCATAAACACTCGCAATTTCTGTGTTCCCCTTTTGTCAAACAGATGACCACCTTCTCGCTGAGAGCAACACGAAAGGATGCAAAGTGACAAAGAAATGGCAGATGCGTCCAAAAAGACGCAGCCGTAGAAAACTCTTCACTTTTATGCATTTGGTGGAGTTACAGAGGAACGTCAGGGTGCGTGTTCTGTTGGGATCACATCTACGCAACACAGAAACTACGCACAAGAACTGTGAAGCGAGCATAAAATATAAATAAATAAGATTACATAAAAGAACCACCTGTGTGCAATTATCTGCCATAAATCCAGCAGTTCTGTGAAAGCTTTGCAGGTTTTTTTTGTCGGACAACGTTAGAGAACAAATGGCGTCTTGAGGAACAAAGCAGATGGGTTGGAGAGAAAGCTGTGGAGAAGCACCGACTCTTTTTTCATTACAAAATGTGTGCAAAACTTTGTAAATATTCTGCTAAAGTCATAAAAACCAACTAAACACAATTTTGCCAGCTCTGTTTCTATTGAACAATAAATGCAATCCTAATAACATGTGAATAAGGCTAAATGGAACCAAGTACTTGGTTCTTTTGCCTCACTGCGACCTGCATCTGATCTGTTCTGAATGACCCGGGTCAGATAGATTTTTTTTGTATGTGACCCAGACTACTTGGATTTGTGGTCATGATTTTGTTCCCTCATTCACACAAGGGGGAAGAAAAACAACAACCATGGCGGCCAATAATGAGAATTAATGTGCTGCCTCCAGTCAGGCAACAACTTCCAAGGCGCATAAATTTGGAATACATCTGATTTTACACACACAAAAAAATCGGATTTGAGTCACTTAATACAGCAGAATGCAGCCCAAGTTTGTTCATGCGATGAGTCATTTAAAAAAAACTAAACATCATCCTCATACCACTTCCTGTCGTCGTCTTTGTTGTTTCCATCAGCAGTAACATCTGATTGTTGATCATGTGACTTAAATTGAAAACCTTTCAAAATATTTTCAATTTTGTTTTTCTGAATGTTAAATTACACAATTTTAGGTGAATGGAAACACGGCTTGTTCAGTCTGTCATCTGACTGGGTTTGCTGGTTCTGGTGTTCACAGCAGCTGTTTATGTACATTACATTAACCGCACCCTCCAGCATTGATCCCCAACAGATTTGACTGGGAAGAGGAGCAGACAAACACGAGCTCTTGTCTGATTTATCTAGTTAAAAATCTGTCACTTTTAGACGCTTTCAGCTTTTGTCCGAAAAGCCCGACGCACTCGGCCGTGCCTCACTCTCGGACGTCTGTAAGTACCCCAAGGAGGACGCGGTTTGAACGCGCTTATGAACGCCTTTCATAATCTTCACAAAGGTACATATTTACCACTGCGCTCGCATGCTCGCACAGGCAACAAACGACATTCGCTCCTCCGCTGTTTTGTATGCGACAAGACAAAACAAGAGAGTTGGGAGTCGCAGAGCTAGCTTGACTATGAAAATCTCAGCTGTCTGCAGACCAGTGCGTGGTCCACAGAAAGCTCACAGCATGCCTGAGTACGGGAGCAGTGTTATGCCCCAGTGCCTTGAAACTGCACTCAGGTGAAAAGAATGGGGCAGAGCAACAGGAGAAAATGACTACAACAGCTACGGAGAAAATAGTGGATGAAAGAGAAAAGGTCATGTCACCAGCCTTGTCATGTTTTGGATATTTAAAACAAAAAAAATGATCAATAATTACCAATTTTCAGCCACATCGCCCAGCTCTGGGTGACTTTCGTCTTCTATCTTTTGTTGTTTGTTTCACTTAGCTTTCCTTGGAAAACCAAATGATGAACAGAGGCTGTTTGCCCGCCGTGGAAATGAACAAACTAACCTTGAAATACCAACCGTCGCCTTCAACTTTACACAAGCTTTTTAAACTGAGACCTAGAAGTTAAAAACATTCAACTGGAAAACAACTCAGCCTTAATCAGGAGATTTGGATAACCTTGAAGTCCTTTCAAGTCTTGCTCCGTGTGTGAATCTGGTTCACGTTCCTGAGCTGATTTAAATCGTCACTGTGTTTCATTTAGAGATCGAGATTCAGCCTGAAGCCGTCAAAAGGGACCATTCAAACAGCACGATTGATTTTACTTTACGTCCCTATTTATAATCTAAATGTAAAATGTTTTATTATGTGTTGCGCTGAGTTTGTTCTTGGAAGTAAAATTGAAAATATGTAGCCTTTGTTTTCAAATAATACTAGGCTAAATAGATATGGCATCCAGCTCAGTGTTATTTCAGCCTGCCGTAGAGATACCGTTTGCAGCAGGTGTTGCCGCTTGCAGTTCTTATTGTCATGTAACATCAGTGAAACGTTGCCTTGCTGAAAGCCATTATTTATTTTGGGTGACCAGAGAAATCCTGAGAAAAACCAACTGGGTCGGAGGCTTCAGATTCCTCTCCTAGTGGTGATTTTCAGCTAAACACATAACACTTTAAATATAATTTTCATTATTCTGAGGTACAATTTGGATAAAATCCTAATCTTACCCACGATGCTTTGTGGTGACACAAACGTTGGTGTTGCCCACACAGAAACTGTGGATGTTTTTGCCCGAAAAGCCAACACGTCAGAGAACGTGCAGCAAACGCGGAGAGAAATCCAAATCGATTCCATTTCTCTATCCGTGTCCGTTGTCTTCCCCTTGCGAAGAAAAGCGAGGGATCCAGGCACGGACGCTCCGGAGCGTGGCCCCTCTGCTTCAGGTCAGTGGTCTTATTTGGCCCCCGTGTGGAGGGACAATTGCTTTCGGCTCGCTCGAGGACGGAGGGGACAGGATGCTGCTGAGACAGCCCCCAGAGCCAATCAGAAAGCCCATCGATCAGGCTCTCTTCATCACACAGCTGGCAAACACATCCCCACTCCAATCTAAAGATCAGCAGCTCAGACCGACCGACAGACCGAGTGAAGATCGGCCGGCTTCCGGAGAAGCGGAGATTAAATTAGAGCTCTAACCGCAGCTCACCTTTACTGTCATCCACAGACTGCTTTTTAGTACCATTAGACTAATGGGATCCCATGAATAGTCTGTAATGTTTAGTCGAAGCCGGCCTTTGCAAAGGAGTGACTGTGTGCCAAAAACAGGGAGGACAAAAGAGGCCGAACGCACAACGATGGACGACAAAACCGCAACCGTGGTTACCTACAGAAAATATTTAATTAGATTCATTAATAATTGAACTAATTAGCTCCCATGTGTCTCGCAAAATGAAGAGGGAACCTTCGAGCTCCACTTGCACCTCGTCAGCTGATTAATTAGCGCGTTGATCGTTAGCCGTCTTGACGGCCTATATGCGATCAGAGGAGAGGGCGGATAATGAGGAATAGTCGGTCGATGGTGCTGGTTAATTAGTGTGACCTGATCCAGGGGCCATGTTAGAACAGTTGTTTATCCCACAGCGCCTAATGAGGAGGATTTAGGGTCGGGTGATCTATTAGGGAAGCAGGCTACAGTGTAGTTTATGGATTGTGGTTAAAAAAGAAAAGAATCCCAGTAATGTTCCAGTAATCTATCAGTAGAGAGGAATAATAACGTCTGCGGTGTTCAATATGAGCTAAACGTTGATGCCTGACTCCCTGCGGTGTTTTCTATTAATAAGTTGGCAGTAAAATGTCTTAAACGGGTCTGGGATTTGGGTTCCGAGGCAATAACAGCGCTTCAGCTACGCTAGTTATGTATTTTTATCTAAATACTTCCAGGACGACGAGCCTGACGGTGGGAGGTCCGGCCATGAACACCGCTGCCAGACCTCCCACGATCAATCATCGCTGTTTTGTGTGTTTTCACTGACATTAATACGACTTTGTGTCTTTTTAAAGAGCGATTTCCAGTGTTTCTGGCTTCTGACTGCTTCAGGAAACAAACTGTGGACTTATGTGACAGGGAGGCCACAGGAGGGGGTGTGGGGGGCATATCCCTCCTGCTTAAACCTTATGGAAGTAGCAAGGATGTACTTATTCTGCCACTTATTCTGTACTTATTCTTTTGTAAATAATGGCAGAAGTCAGGATGAGAAATTATTTCAAAACTGGGAAGTCTTTGGTAACATGTTTACAGTATAGATAATAATAGGTTGAAATAGTGATTATGTCCCGGCTTTTCTTAATGTTACAAGTCATTCAGGACTTGTAACACTGACAGCTTTCCAACGACCACCATCTCGTTTGACATTTTAAAACATCAGCACAATAAAGATTGGATTTTATTTTATTTTGGTTTAAAAACAAACACAGAATATTTAATTACTAGTTTGATGTTCAAGCTTGAGATGCAAAGGTTTATAAGAAGTAGAAATTTTGGGTACAACTGGAGCTTTTTCACCAACAATATGGTCACTTTGCATAAAAAACATATTTGCTGGTAGCTGAGGGGGGGAAAAAAACAAACTTATTCATAACTTTGACTCTTATCAAAACGAACTCCTGCTTCCTATAAAAAAAACAAACAAACGAAAACAAAAAACATGACGTTAGCTTAATTTGGCTTCTTAAATTTCCATTAGTTGTGAACAGGGCCGGCTGGTATAAGTGGGCTGGTAGAGCTTAGCCCTCCCTGACATTTACAATAAAGTTGTTGAAATAAACAGCTTAAAAATAATAACCTAAAAACAAATGCATGTTATAAAGCAGTGCTTCTCAAATAGTGGGGCGGGCCCCCTTTGGGGGGCGCGGTGCGATACCTGGGGGGGCGTGTGATCCTGGGGAACAGGCTTTTTTTTGGCCGTACTAGTATAAAGTGTAATTGCGCACAGTAGGCAGCAGTGGCGCTCTCATTGTTACTTCTGTCACGTTTGCGACAGTGCAACATTTTACGACTTACAAGACAACAGGTTTGCCTTGGTTAGCAGTGTTAAGTCAACAAAAAGCTCCGTCTGCGTTCTGTCTATGGCCTCCGTTATTCAACAACCCCCAACATAAAAAAGTTTTTCACAGGGATGAAAAGAAACACGGAGAGAGACAAAGATAATGAGACAACAGAAAGTCAACCGAAAGCTAAGAAGAGGAAATACGACGAAGCGTATTTAGCGCTTGGCTTCACTGTGACTACAGTTGAAGAAGAGGAAAGACCGCTGTGTTTGCTGTGTCTAAAAATGCTCGCAGCGGACAGCATGAAGCCAAATAAATTAGCGCGTCACTTAAATACGTTACATCCCAATCACGCCGATAAGCCGCTAGAGTTTTTTCAGCGAAAACGTGCTGAATATTGCCAACAGTCATCCCGCTTTGTGAAGGCTACTTCAGTAAACCATCGAGCGCTGCTAGCATCATATAAGGTGGCGTACCAAATTGCGCAGTGCAAAAAGCCCCACACCATAGCAGAGGAGCTGATACTGCCTGCAGCAGTAGACATGGATTTATTTATTTTTAATTTCAGGCATTGATGCACTTAAAATCTTTTCTGTTGCAGACTTAAAACACGATTTAATAAAGTTATTCTTTGTAAGTTTGACCATATGTCTTTCTTTTTTCTTTAATGTTAATGAAAAAATGTTATGCAGAGATGGATAGTCACGGTGGGGAGTGGGGGGCGCGAATAGTTTTCTTCTTGCTAGGGGGGCGTAACGAAAAATAATTGAGAAGCACTGTTATAAAGAATGTATCACCTTTTCTTACATTTTCAAAAAAACTGGTGTCAAACCGTCTAGCCACGCCCCCTCGATTTGCGGCTCACTTGGGCCAGGGTCAGCCCGATTCATCCAATCAGGACGGACTTTCCTCGAGCTCGAAGGTGTGAGGGCGTGGCTTGGCGTAGACTGAGGAAGAGCGATGGCGAGCAATGCTAGCATAGGCGAGGTGGATTATTTTGCTTTCTTGGCCCAGAACAGTGATTTTTCTCTTTAAATAAGGTAGGCCTCATTTAAAAACATCTTTAAATTAAATTTTACCTCTACCACCGGACCCGGTACTCACAATACTTTAACTGTGACTTGCTCACGTACCCTCTGACGATGGGCCGGAAGTGGGCGTCCCGTCACTTCCTGAAAAACGCCACAAAAGAATTTGTAAAAGCTGTTTCAGGGTCTGTGGACCAGGTATAAAGCTCACAAGGATCCACGACACCACTGGGTTAAAAGAAATTAAAAATAAATAAATAAAAATAAAATTGTAATAATAATAATAAATGTAAAACATTTAACATGGCAGTTACTCACAATTAATCTATTACTGCTAGTTCTGAAAAAAAAGGGAAAAAAAAAGAAACAGAAAAAACTGTAAACAAGCAAAAACAAAAACAACATGGACAGGAATTGGCACGCATGCGCACGAGCTCGCGCGCGTCAGCCGGTCCGTGCATCTGTCGTGCTGAAAAGCTCCAGCTTTGACTCCGGGGCGCCCCGGAGATAATTGGTGTCCTTGGAGTTGAATAAGCTCATTCTAAAACACCTCAGGCCCGGGCTGTCCCGGTGTGTGCGACTGCGTATTGAATAATTGATTCCAACAGGGAGGGGCGGTTCCGATCAGATCTGAAGCATAATGACTTTATATAATTAGCACGCAGGGACTAAAAAAAAACAACAACAAAAAAAAATTGAGTGTATTTTTTTTTTCTGTGAATTTTTTGCAGCGGGAGAAGCAGAGAGAGGGAGAGAGAGAAAAGGAGGGAGGGAGCCGTGCAGAGAGTGTGCAGAGCGGCTCATTGCACTGGAGGGATCGGCCGCAGTCCGTGCAGATACAGACATACTGAAGCGCTGACATCAGCCAGGACGGCACGGCGCTCACACGCTCTACATTTAAAGGACATCTCCCCCCTGGCCGAAGAGGTGACCCTCGGGAAACGTCATCTGTCATCCACCCACGGACTCAGTTCTTATAATTATCACGATGATTATTATGTTTTAAGAAGACAAGAAACTGGCCGGGTTTTTCTCCCGCTCGCCGATCTCACAATGAGGAGCAGATCCGAAGTTTGAGCCACTCCAGACTGATCGCAGTCATTTACGCTCCCTGTCCGCGTTGATCAGCGCTGTTGTTTAGCAGACAGGAGGAGGAGGAGAGGAAGAAGAGGAAAGACGTGCGGGTAGTTCTGCTCTTGTTGAATTGTAGCCGCTTCTTCCTCCCCTGAAGGATGGTGCTAGACAAGGAGGAGAGTAAGTATAAAAGGATGTTTGTTCATTTTGAAGTGCGATGCGGAGCATTGAAATGGACTTTATCTGCTCAGATCTTTTCCCGTAAAGATAAAGCTCTATAGTGCCGACTTACATCACTGCTTGTCATCAGCTGTACTTTTTTAAAAATTATTATTAATTTTACTAGAATATGCAGGACTACGTCATCCTTTGATCTGGTGTGCAGTTGAATTTTCTTGCATGTCAAATAAAATTATGAATATATGAAGTAGAAAAAATGGGATACTGACTCAGAATAAATGGATGTGCCTGAAGTAACATAGAATTTTACGTAAAAAAAAAAAAAAAAAAAAACACTGGAGTCCAGTAGGAAGTGGAAAATCGTCCAAGCTGTTGTCAGACTGACATGTTCACACATTCCTCTTTGCAAAAGCTCAGTCAAATTGGACAGACAGCGTCCGTGAACATCGCTTTTCAAATCTTGCTGAAGATTCCTAATTAGATTTGGATCTGTACCTTAAACATGCTTTGATCTACCCCGCTCCATCGCAGCCGAATGTTGAGGGTTGTCGTCCTACGGATGGTGGAAGAAAAATCTCAAGTCTTCCACAGTCTGTCAGTTTTCCTTCTAGGCATTCTGCCCTCATGAAGCCTGCCCTCATCATGATGCTGCCACCACCGTGTTTGCTGTGGCACTCAAGCGTTTCTTGCAGCTCTTTAATACCGCCTGCATTCATGAAGCGGGAGTCTCGAAAGCGTAGGAGTTTCTTCAGCTCAAACACTGATTGGCTGGCTTCACTTGATCTGCGTTTCTGCCCCCCTCACTGCTATGCTGCACGGAGGAACTCGTCAACGTTTAACCCTCCCTACTTATAAATAACTTTGAAAAATTGCTACTGTTAATTATGCCTGTCCAATTATGTTGTGCCTTACTTTCCTCGTCCCAATCAGGAATAGTTCTTCCTTTAGATATTTAGATACCTCCACCTCGCCTGCAGACATACCTACCTGGGTTTGAGGAGCTCTTAACTGATTGTCCAATCAACAGATTCTTCCATTTAACCTGTGGTTCTCTCCAGTTAATGTTCTAATTATCCCACCTGTCAGATTAGGCCATATCTTGGTAGTTTGGAAGGTGCAATCACACATTGAATAGAGCTCTTTGAGAAGCTTAAAGCTTGACAAGCCTTAAGCAAAGTCATTTGAAACTTCTGCAGAACTTGACCTCCGACCTGCAGTGTCCTTTGGTCTTTATGATGCTGCCTGTTCAGCGTTGCCTAACAAACCTCTAAGGCCTTGGAAGAACAGCAGGATTTAAACTGACACATGTAAACTTCTTAATTCAGTTTAACTCAGTCTTTGTTACCTCTTCTTGCTTTGCTGTAAATGCTTTTTTTTTGTAAGAAATTTTACAAATAACTCTATCAGTTGATTCGCCACGTTTCACGTTTATGCTGGGAACTAGAAAGTACTGGAATGAAGCTTACTTAATTACTCTACGGATGAAACCTGGGGAAAAATTGGAAAAATATCTGTTCTCGGGTTACTCTTTGGTCATTCTCTCTGTTTCATTTCAGGCGTGTCTGTCGTTCCCCTCCAGTCCAGAGAGAAGCCACGAGGCTGTGCCGGCTGCAATGGGAAGATCCGGGACCGCTTCATGCTTCAGGCGTTAGACAGGTTCTGGCATGAAGACTGTCTGAAGTGCGCCTGCTGCGACTGCCGCCTGGGACGGGTCGGCTCCACCCTGTACACCCGGGCAAATCTCATCCTCTGCCGCAGAGACTACCTGAGGTATGGCTTCCATGTGTGAAACAGAATAACTGACTATACCATTCACTTTTTGCTTATGTGATGTGTACTCAACAAAAATTAGCTGATAAATTCCCCAAATATTGACCAACCTTCACTCCAATAGTCTTATTAAGCATGCATCCTTAATATGTAGAGTAATACCACATAGAGAGTCCAGTAGATTCGGTTTGATTAGGGACCAACATTGCAACATTTCCTACATTTTCAGCTGGTGCGGTTTGCTTTCACATGAACCAAAGCCTTTGAAAAAGCTGTTTAACTGAAGGTGTAAAAATGACCTCAGCAAAGTATATGGACTTTTTGACTGGTCCCTTTCTTTCATGGTTCAAAAAGAAGAGCTTTGTTCAGTAAAATTTGATCTATACTGTAATTGTTCATGAGTTGAAAATTATACTGACCATCATTTGCATCGATCATTTAAGAAAATCGGAGAAAATACCACTTGCATAATCATTTGCAACACGGTGTAGACGATAGATGGGCTTGATCGTTGTGTCGCCCGCATTTGATTGTTTGCTATAGTTGCAGTCTGACTTAGGCGCAAATCAGACTGCAACAATTTTACATTCTTCGACACGTGAACTCGCTCGAGGGTTCAAGGATTTGGAAGAACTGACACCAAATGCAACAGTCAGCAGCAAGCTCACGGAGTTGGAAGAATGAATGCAGGAACAAAGGAGACAAGCTGCTGACCTTTTCTTATGTTTTGAGTCATTGTCGGGAAATGTAGAGTGAAGCCAGAACAGCGGGGTTGGAACTTTCTATAGACTTACCCTTATTTTCTTAAAATGAATTATGAAACCTTTCCTCTGTTTGATTTGTTCATCAGCGAGCGGAAGGAAAAAAAGAATGTTGAAATAAAGGTGTTTTGGCTTCCTCTGTAAGATGTGAGGGGAAACCATGAGCTTTCTTTCCACAGGAATAATCAACGAGAGACAGGAGGCCTGTGATGCCAGAGGACGTCTTTGTTATGCTGCTTAATGTTGGCCAGTCCTTGTCTCCATTTAGCGCAGAAACACATGTTGAACGTTTTTAGCCCATAGGGCGTGTCCAAATTTAGGCTAAACCAAGACGTTGAACATCAGACTTGGTTAGAGAATTTGGTCAACCTCAAACACATTTCAACCACATTTAGACACCAACATGTTGACGTCGTTCCTCGTTTCTCTTTTTATGCCGCCATTTCAAAAATGGTGGGCAACATTGATTCTCTCAAATGAAAGTTTCCCGATGAAGATGGTGGCTTGTTAGAGAAGCATGTGGCAAAAGCATTAACACCACAAAAAAGCAGTTCTTTGTGCGTTTTCAGGAAATGTATGTGCTTTGTTAAGTAAAAGTAGGTTCACACTTAGGTAATGCAGATTTGGAAGTTTTAGTAGTAGCTAAATGCCAGCTTGGTCAGTTAACTCTCTATGCTTAGCTAACAATCTTCATATAGCGCATATTTGTTGTTGTTGCAAAGTAGAACACGGTTAACTCACTAACACAAACTAAATAATTGTTGTTGTTATGTTTTTCTTTCAGACAAAGGAGGAATGAACAAATAAAGTATTTTTTAGCTGTCTTGGTGAAAAGGTATAAGTAATTAGCGGCTTGTTAGCTGCTTTGTACTGCTAAAGAATCATATATATACGGCCAGCAAAGCTCACCGTGATCGGTGTCCCTTATTTTCATTCCTGAAAGGTGGCATTCCTAACATAGAATGGAGCAAAAACAGAAAAAACAACAATAACTCAATTAGCTTACGGTTACGGTAATTCCAGACATTCCCCTCAGAGGTTTTGTTTTTGCTGGCTAGCTAGCAGAGTCACACCTACTTATCTCTATGCTTAACGAAGCTAACACCCGAGAGACAATTAGCTTGGCTGACTCTCTCTGAGGTGAGCTTAGCTAAATATCTTTTGGTTTGGACGTCTTTGGTTTTGTGTTTGTCACGAAATTAAATACCTACCTAGCTGCCAAAATACATTCATGTTAAAAAGCTAATTAAACCTTTTTCCATACACAAGTTGATTAAAAGGAACACAAGAATTTGCTGCACAGGCCTGAATTTACTCTAGATTTTCGCTAATCCATGCATGGTCTCGTACTCAAATATATACAAAGCCTAAATCCCTCTAAATCCTTTAATAAATGGTGCTGATGGTTGTAGAATGTGTTTAACTTGAAAAGGCCAAGTCCCATTAACTTCTGACTGGTGATGATGATTGCTTGCAGATGATAGTTTCTGTGTTGCTATAAAAAAAAGATTTCCTTGACAGGCTGATTGGACTGAGAAATAATCAAGTTGGGAAAGTTATTCAAATCCATTAAAAAAAAAAAGCAGTGTTTTGTTTAAATGATTTGTTAAAGTCAACCTGAGGTCAGGCAACCAAAAAACCCAAAAAATAAAAATGGGATGTTTGGGAATCATCCAGGCAATATTGCATACGCATTTAAGCTTTATCAAATCGACTTCGATTGAATACGGTCATTGTGAAAATAAAAAGTCCTCAGTAGATTCAGACGTATCCACCCGCTTCTTTTTTTTGTTTTTGTTTTTGTTTTTCAAAATTATTGAAGTGTTGTAAAATCATTCCAAGCTAACGTAGTTTTTATGCTAGAGACGAGTGATCAGACTCAAAACCTGGGTGTAGTAACCTGGACCTACACAAACACATAAAGACAGTTACAAAGTCAGCCTTCTACCAGCTGAAGAACATCTACAGGATCAAGGAATTAATGTGATTTGTTCTGATGTTCCTTTGGGTCAATATTGGTTTCGCCCAGTGCTGAAAGGTGTGATATCGGTATTGTATCGGAAGTGAAAAAATTGTATCGGGACACCCATAGTTTGAACTCATGTCATTCTCTTTCCATTTCCAAAATGTAATGCGTATTGCTGTTTCCCAATTGCTTATTATATTATGTTTCTATGGTCTGAAGTGCCTTGTTGCTGAAATATGCTGTGCAAGTAAACTTGACTTGACTGAACACAACGGTGCCAAAAGTAGGATTTGAAACAACAGGATTTTGTAAAACTGGCTGATCCAAAGGTCACACCCCAAGACAATTTCTCCACCAAATTAGCAACGTGTGGAGTCAGGTCAGCAGTTAGAACTCCTGATTTCTCAGCCTCCGATGCCGAACCCATGTGTTAGTCTCATGTACAATCCAGCTGGATTTCGTTGGAGCTAAGTCGCTCATTAGCCGCGCTGCACTTAGGAGACCAAAACCCCTTTTGACAGTTAAATTGGCTAGATTGCCTCCTGTTTCCCTCATCATTGCAAGGGTGCAGACCAAAAGCCTTTGAAGAGCTGGATTAAAACCATGTGATTTCTTTTAATTGGACCATTAGTGGAGAATTAGCATTGGGCTTCGTAGCCTCGTTAAGGAGAAAGGGGGAGGAAGGAGAAAAAAACCCCACCAGGTGCCTGTGAAGGACTTGCACTGGTTAGATCAGAACATTCTGGTAATTAGGGCTCGCTTTTGTTCCCGCATTAGTCACTCATTTGATGACGTTTTTCAGTTGTTGTCTCAGGCTGTGGGATACAAATTCTGCTTTCTTTCCCCCCTCTATTTCCCTCTTCTACCACGGAGGTCGTTTTTTTTTTCTTTCAAATGCTTTCTCTTTGACCTCCACCCCCCTATTATTATTATTTTTTTAACATGGCCTCTAATGGAATATGGAAATCAGTCGTGGCAACTTGTCTCCATGCGTGTTGGGCTCCGAGGGAGCCGTTTGTTCGTTCTGTCGGAGGCGAGTGAGAGGTGAGGCCATCTGCAGTTGGCCGGAGCCGGAGCGTTTTAAAACCCTGCAGAGTTAGTTCCCAGGTAGTTCACTTGCTGCTTTAAAGGAAAATGTTCGGATCCCGCACTCTTCCATGTTGAAATTGGTCACATTTCAGGATGTTACCAAGAAGAGCTGATAAAGTGAAGCCATGGAAAAAAAAAATAAAAAATCACCCTCAATATCATACAGCCACATATCAGAGGAAGCGGAGCGTCGATGAGAGCAGAAAATAATCCTTGAGCTTGTCTTCGCGAAATGTTGGCAGAAGAGCAACAACGTTGTTAAAATATGGGAGCATGCTCATTTTAATCCAGGCTTGCTGGCTGCTTTGCTAGGCTTTTAATCACACTGTATACCCCGATGGAAAGAAAGGAAGAAAAAAGCCCCCAACCACAAGATTTCTGGCCAGCTGTTTCTGACTAAAATCGGACATAAATAAAACCGTCCCGAGCAAAGCGAGGCATATTCTGCAGAGGAGTAAGAAACTGGAAGTCCGGTGCCTTGCTAAAGTATTTGCGCCCCTTGAACTTCGGTCACGTTTCAACTGCAAACCTTAATGCAGTTTATTGGGATTTTATGAGACAGACCAACATCATAAAGGACATGATTGTGAAGGGGAAGTGGAAGCTTAAGAAAGTGGGGCACGCCTCTGTTTTTCAGCCCGACCTTATTCTGGCACCGCCGAGAAAAATCCAGAGCAGCCAAACGTCCGACTTGATTAAAAATGAAACATTTATCGTATCATTTATCAACTGTTGACAAAAATGTCTTACTGTGACAAGACCTTGGATTCATCGTTGCCTTGGTCGATTCCAAGTGCTGATGCTAAATAAGATACAAAAGTGATAGAATTATTGGATATATTAAAATGACTAATTTCTGCGCTGTTTGTTTCCCAAGAGCATCAATACATATTAGTAAAACTAAAAATGTGATGAAATGCAGTTACTGTGTGCTGGTTAGTGATATAAATCTTCCTCTCCTAAGACTGTTTGCTACCTAAAAAAGAAATGACAATATTGTTGTCATATTAGTACAATAAAACATCACAATAAAATTCAATATGGTCCAATATTATCGTTTATCGCAATAATTGCAGGCAATTCGATTCGAATTACCCCCAAAGAACAAACAAAGCAGAAAGGAGAAATTTACATCAAAGTTACGTTGCGAAACTTGTTGACAGTATGTGGATTCCCATTTGTCAACAAAGTTTTTAGTATTCATCTTAGTTCTGGAGTAACTAGAACCATAAACAGCGACCTACTTTTTCTCAAAAGCAAGTCTTATTTCTCAAATAAGAAAGCAACCCCAAAAAATGCAGAAACTTTAGTTTTGTGGATCTGTTTTGTACAAAAATCTGACTATTTTTCTTAGTTTTAGTAACATTTAAATAAAATGAAGGCAACAAAAGTTTGTCTTAGAAATGTTTTATTAAAAAAAAGCGCTTTCAACTTACCAACTTTGACCCTCAGGGTACAAAGCCTCTGACTTTAAATTAGATTAAAAAAACAAAAAAGACTCGTGTTTTTGACTGGCCCAGTCAAAGTCCAGAGCGACATTTCATTAAGTATGTGTGGCAAGACTTGGAAATTGCTATCAGTGAAGGATCGGTGGACGTGTAAACCTGGTGTGAGCTCACACTAAAGCGCGGTTCTAGGATACGCCGAGTCACTTTCAGTCACTTTTTTAGTGACTCGGCACATGAGGTCTATCACACACAACACCGAACAGAAGACTTTACGGTTTTGTGTTAAAACGTGACGAGCTGCTCGTATCAGCAGTGGTCTGAGCTGCGGACGATGAGCTGCTGAACCGCTGACTCTCAGAAGTCACTGTTACCATGTTAGTGACGGCAGCATCAGCACAGGACTCCACTTCTGAAACCGTCGAGTCGTCCATCACTTTTCAACATGTGCAAACGTTGACCAGTTCCCACTTCCAAGGTTGGGAGGCTGTTCCGTTTTTCTATCATTTCAACCTGCAATGGGACAACTTGGAGGATGAGTGGATGATAAATTTAATGGTTTGCAGTGGTTCTTTTTTTTTTTTTTTTTTAACGACGTAGAGTGCTGTTTCTTTTTATGAGAATCACATCCCATCATGTTCCCATAATTACAATTTGGATGTTGATTTGAGTCCCTTTCTCACACTTGGCTGCGTTCACAGATGATATGATTAGATGACTCTGGTGAGTAATCGGCGAGAAATGCAGATCACCCCTAGAAAGAAAGCAGCAAATTGGTTATGAGGAAACGGCGGATTAGCACTGAGATGCACAAACAAGTTTTTAACACCACTGTTTTCTTCGTAGTTGACTGAAACAAATATTTACGCCCCTGAAAGTATTTTGTAATTTGTCATACATCATAAGTGACGATAATTGTTTATTACTTCTTTTGAAGGGGAGCAGCAACTATAAACCAACAAAAACAAGTGCTGCTTGCATTTGTAACGTGTTTCTTCAGGACGCCAGTCACATAAAAATAAATAAATAAATAGATCTGCATCGCTGAGCTTCACGCCATAAATGCATGTAATCGTATTTCCACATTTATTGATAAATATGGATTTTATTGAACAGACAGCGGAGACGTTGGCAAAAACGGAAAATCCGACAATTCCTAGTTTGGCATCATCAACCTGAATGTATTGTTAAACGAATAAAAAGTCTTATCACGTTAAGAAATGTATCGCGATAAATGATTAAGGCGATAACGTCTTTTTAAAAGAAAAATGATTTCTTTCTGCTGTCCTGTCACGTAAAAGCACAACGTAGCAGGCATAAAGACTTTTGTTGTAATGTTTCAAAAGGATTGGAGGGGGGCAGACAAAAACAAAGTACAAGACGGTACAAATTCCTCTGCAGACCAGCTTATGTTGCGTTTCCCCCCACACCGCAGCTCTTTGGTGAAATGCATCCATGTGCGCGCCCAGATTAAAGGCTCGCGTGTTGCCCTCCTCTCCCTCTGCAGGCTCTTCGGGGTGACGGGGAACTGTGCAGCCTGCAGTAAGCTGATCCCTGCCTTTGAGATGGTGATGAGAGCCAGAGACAACGTCTACCATTTAGACTGCTTTGCCTGTCAGCTCTGCCGCCAGAGGTAAGATTAGGGGAGCAATTAGCCCGGGAGATCAAATTCAGTTGACTTGTGTGGAAGGTGCGCTGGTGAGCAAACTGTTAGTGCAGGTTGTAATCACAGGTTGATTAAATCCACAGCGGAGAAAAGAAAGAAAGGAAGAAGAAGAAAAGAAAAAAAAAAGCTCAAAGGGTTAAAGACTTTGTCTGACACTTGAATAGTTAATCAGGGTTGTGGCTATGCAAGATTAATTTTCTGATTATGACAGCGGTAGATGTATGTGGTATGAAATTATGCCTGGGAAGGGGGAAAAAAAAAGAGGGAAAACTGCCCTCGTGGGAAAGCCTCGCAATTCGTTTGAGGTCCGGAGAGAAGCAGGAGCCGGTTCATGTTTTGATTGTTTCTCTCTGCAGATTCTGCGTGGGAGACAAGTTCTTCCTCAAGAACAACATGATCCTGTGCCAGCTGGACTACGAAGGAGGCCATCTTAATGGAGGCTCCGACAGACAGCCGCAATGAGAGGTAATATTCTGGTAACAAGGAGGCGCAGTCCCACACAGCTGCGCTGACAGTTTGGACCAAACCATCCGTGAGATATCGTGATAGTGTTTTTTTTTTTTTTTTTCCCCAACGCGTCCCAAATCAGGCCAAATGTAGATACGATACTTCACTCCAGAGACTGAAAACTCCTCAGAGGAGAAGAAGAAAAAAAACATCCCAGCTGGAGAAATTTGATTTTGGAGGGTTTTGTGAATTGAAAGGATGGGGGGGGGGTTCGAAAAGAACAAATAAATAAATGTGTGATATTCCAGATTACCTTTCGGTTGCAATTACAGCTGCAAATCTTTTCGTGGTTTTGTCTCTGCCAGCGCTGCACATCTGGAAACTGGAAGTTTTGCCTCTTCTGTTTTGAAAAGCAGCTGAAGCTCAAACCAAACGTAGAGCCTCTGCATACAGTACATTTTATTTCAGTCTAACTTTGACCTGGACTTTGACAGGATGATTCAAAAGCATGAGAACATTGTGATTTCAAACCCTCTTGTCGTGTGCCCGGCTTTCTGTTTGCAAGGGAAAACTTTGCCACAACCTGAGATCTAACGCCTCCTCAGACACGCCATTCTGCAGGATTTTTCTCCGTTTCCATCTTCTCCTGTGGTCTCTCAGTGTTTCGCTGAGGAGGAGTCGTCGTCAGCAATGCAAACACGACAAACACAGGTGGAGAACATCGGAAGAGGAAGCAGAAGCGACACTCAGAGAGTCTCCATCCACCTCTTAAGCCGACGTCAAACTTTATTCAAATGGACGTTTGCAAAGCAGCCTAGTAAATCAGGGAAACAGAATTTAGCGGGAGCTAAGTGAGCTAAGCATTTACAAAGTTAACAAAATAAAGTGCTGAAAGAAAAATGTTAATTCTAATATTAACGCATTAGAGAAAGTATGGCCACCACTGAGTTTAGATCCACCGTCATGCTTTTGCTAGGTTTGTAGTTTTCCTGTCTGCTATGTTCTCGTTTCTAATCAACTCCCTTTACAACTCTCTCACTCGGATTCATTCGGGCGTATCAGAGTAAAGGGGCGGCACCACACTTTTCGGGTCTTCATTTGTAAAATAAAAAAACAGTGTGCCACTCTCCTCCCACTCCGCAGTCGTGTACTCGTTTGTGACGGTCTGTCGTATAAAATGCCAACAACGTGCGCAGAAATGTGTGTTTCTAAAGGTGCAGAGGTCTCTGGGGGATTGTTAGTTTTGCGAGGCGCTCCATGTGAGTGCAGAAGGTGCCGCAGTTCCTTCCAATGGCTTCAAATCTTGAAAAGAGTTCCAAATCTATAAAGTTTTATATTGGTGGAAGAAAAGTTGGATGACGCTAGAAGAAGGGGAAAAAAAAACAAGAGTTAGAATCTGCCGGATAGTTATTGTTTTGGGAAATGTTTCTTAAATAAGGGGTCTGGGGACTATATTATGGCAGAAAAACACTTATGAAGTGTTTTTTTTTTTCCCTCCTTCTGCAAAGTGACCCGAGGATCTTTTATATTTTCTTCTCTCACAGCAGATCTGGAGAGGGACCACTGTGAGCCAGCTGGACCATGAAACTCACAGCAGCGCACAGCTCATCAGCTTCTCGCTTCAAACTGAACTCTGAAGAATGTAAAAAAAAAAAAAAAAGAAAAGAAAGAAAGAAAAGGAAGAAGAAAATCTCAGATTGGACACGTTCGCCGCGGCCGATGCCTGAACTCTTTGTTGCAGAGCTGCGCGGTCGGTTCCCTGAAAAAAACTGACCGTTCCGATCGGATGAGCTCGAGGTCAGCCAGGAAGTGAAACTGGAGAGACCATGTGGAGGACGTTTCCCACAACGCTTTTTATGGACTGCGAACTGGAGCGCTGCAAATTCTGACAATAATTTGAGGAGCTGGTTTGAAAAAAAAAAATAACAACAAGAGCAAAAATCGATCCAACAGACGAACGAAGGGAGTCTGGAAAGAAATCAGGAGCTCTGAGACTGCTGGATTCTCCTGGCTGTCTTTTTTTTTTTTTTTTTTGGAGGAAAACAAACAAAAAATAATAACAGTGAAATAAATAAATAAATAAAACTTAGATTTCCAGCCCAGTTTAATTATATTCAAACTGTTTCCCTTGCTGCTTTTTATTTTTATTTTATTTTATTTTTTATTAAACTGGAATTAAATCACAGTTTGTCTGCCTTTTATTTATGTTATGTGCCGACAATACTACATGTGACATCACAGGGTCACTTTAGGTCAAAGACAGGATTGCTTGTTCTGCAAGAATAAAATCCAACAGAAAAGGTCAAAAAGAAATATAATATCTGAACCTGCACTCGATGGCGTTCTTCATTGATTACAAACATGACATTGAAATTATTGTAAAAAAAAAAAAAAAAATAGCCTAAATAAAAACAAACACAAACAAAATGACACCAAATACTGAATCTAAATCACAGGATTTAAAAGAAAAAACACATAGCCACACTTGTCATGAAAAATGACAGTTTGAATTTAGGTCAAACATTTGGTGAAATGTGACATCTTCTTCATTGTAACCATTGTGTTGGTAAAAGATACTTGGGGCACATAGACATTTTGTGCGTCTTCATTTTAATTTCATACCTTCAGCACAAGAAGGTCGCTGCTGATGTCGTGCCTAGTTTCGGAGAGCCTCGGCACAAAACAAAGCCACATTTGTAGCCCTTGTAATATTTGTTGAGTATTTTCCATTGTAATAATATTCCAGTCTTTAGGCTGTCTGCCCGTTGACGTTTAAACCACGGTCCCTTGGCGACCCCTGGCGGTGAAACCTTGTAATTGCCGTTCGCTCTCACTTCCGCTCCCGCGGTCACAGAGGAAGGAATCGCCGACGCTCCATCATGTCTTCTCTGTTTTCGTGACTCCGGCCTGTTTGTTTAACGTGGCGTTAGAGCCGGAAAGGCGGCCGCCCGGCTGTCGATATGTCAATGTCGACGTTTCAGAAGGTGACCCTGGCCGCGTGCCTCGTGCTGTGCGTGGCGCTGCTGCTTCCCAAGCTGCTGCTGTCCAGGGGGAGGAAGGATGCTGCGGAGCGGCCAGAAGGTGCGCCGCCATTTCTTCCCTAACCGCTGAACCGAACCTGTGTTTGATTTGACGGTAGTTTGGCTTCGGGCAGGTCCATAGTGTGTTCATGTCGCCGTGTTTACTCTGTTAATGACTCTGGAAATATTTCCAGTCATTATTCTTCTTGTAATTGCGTTTTCCTCCCTGCGGGCGGCGCCAAAAACACCCAAGTCAGAAATCGGATGTACCCAGTTTCTCAGAAAAAATTAACGTTATGAACGGATGGGGACGCGGGGGTCGAGCGCGCGACACGTCGACGGAGGCGTCGACGGAGGCCTCAGTCCTCCACGCGGCAGTCACAGGTTCGAGTTCCGGTGTCTGTCGATTCACTGTCCAGTAGAGGCCTCTAAAGTCAAAACGTTTAAAAAAAAGATTTGAAAGCCTGCTGAAAAGCACTGAGTCCTTGTATTTGGTCACTTTCATTTCATTCATCTGTCTGGCTTGGTCAACCCTCTCACCCACTTGGCCCCTTCCCTGCAGGATCGGGCCATTTCCCTCCCATGATGCACCGGCAGATGACTCCGGAGGGTCGGGGCCAGAGGGCAGCGGGGTCCGGGTTCTCCAGATCCCATAACTCTGACTCCACGTCCAGGGCCAAAGGAGCCGGGACAGGGACCGGGACCGGAGGCAAGTCCAACCTGGCGGGACAGATTATCCCCGTGTACGGCTTTGGGATCTTACTCTACATCCTCTACATTTTATTTAAGGTAAAAAAAAAAAAAAAGTAATCTGACGCTGTCCTGAGGAAGGAGCTCTGCTAACCAAAACGACAGGATGTGGGAATCATTGGGAATGTTGTATTTTTAGATCACATCCAAAGGGAACAGCAAGCCGTCAGCTAGGAGGTGTCTTCCACATCGATCTGAGAATATGAAGAGGAAGATCAGTGAGTTTCATCTCATTAATAAACCTGTTCGTTTTGTAATATCTGGACACCGTCTGCCTGTGAAAAGTATTCACTTCCGTGGGTGATTAACCGTTTTTTTTAAAATAATACAAAAAAATTACTTTCTTGCCTAAAATATCATTTATCATGATTGTATTTTATTATTTTTGCCAACATGTTTTGTCCCTTCTTTCACTCGGAGATCTAGTTTATCTATTCAAACCTAAGCTGGGCCGCCACGTTTGTTTCAGAAAGACGGGTCTCTGTGAAAACCACCTTTCATCGATCTAACACGAGCGTTCTGAACCTCAGACGAAGCTCCTGGGTTTGTTTTCACCTAAAGGAATTTCAACCCTGTGAAGACTGGGAACAATTTCTCAAATGTTTCTTTTGTGTGTGTGTTTGTGTAAATAATTATTTTTTTTTTTTTTTGGTAAAATGTTGGAAACAGCCACTAAGAGCTATATTCCTCTTAGGGAGGAATATAGTTTTCCTCCCTAAGACTTATGGAAGGAGTGCAGGTGAAGTCAGCGTTCCTGAACTGGCATTAGCCGACTGTACGATCGGTTCCACGCCGCCTGAACGTCTCGTCTCTTCGGTCCCTCAGCCGACTTCGAGCTGGCCCAGCTGCAGGACAAGCTGAGGGAGACGGAGCTGGTGATGGAGAACATCGTCTCCGGCGCCCACCACAGTCCTGACAGGTGACTCTTCTGCTAAAATAATTATTAGTTGAACTTTGTTTTACTTTTTTGGGGGGGGGAGTTGAGGTTGAAAAAACAGACTAGAAACCAAAACCGCGCCCGCAGGGTAACGGGGGTCACCGCCGACCAGGAGGAGAGTCTGCTGCAGCAGCTGTCAGAGATAACCAGAGTGATGCAGGAGGGCCAGCTGGTGGACGGGATCCTGCCGGAGAAGAAGGTCCAGGAAGGCTGGAACGGTGAGGGAATGTTGCAGACTCACCAAATTCCAAACAAGCTAGCTCACACGACTCAACAGGTGGGAGTCACGAAAATAAATTCGCTCAATAGAAGCGCTGCAATTTTGAAAAAGAAACACAAATATTTCCGCTAAAAGGTTTTCTGTGCTCGTCTGAGATCTGTTTTTCGCCTGTATCAAAATCAGTGTGTTTAGCGAAACTGTGATAGAAACACCAGCTACATTTCCCTTTTCATTGTGCAAACTGGAATTGTAAAAAAAATAATAAAAAGTTCTCCGATAAAAGGTCTTTGTGCTTTTCGGCTTTAACAAAATGTGTGTGTTTCACCGACCTTTGATGGAAAGACTTTTTTCGCATCACTCAAGTCACATGATCCGTAACCAGATGTTGCCACTTATTGCATGAACAGATTTATTCACGTGATTTTAATTGCGTTCATTTCACAAAAACACCATCGTTTTTTTCCCCTAACATTAGCGGGATATAGAGAACATTTTGTGCACATTTGTAATGAAAAAGCAAATATATTTTTGGGCATCACACAAATCATCTGATCAATAACTGCATGTTACTACAGGTGGAAATGACAAAGAAGGAAGTGGTGGTAGGATGATATTCACGCATGATTTTAATTGGAAACACAGTAATTGCTAAATAATTTTTTTCTTTTTGACATTAGTGGAATATCAACTAAATTTGTCGCAACATTTCCCAGACTATCCAGAGGAGCCTCGCCCGTGTTGGGATGATACCCAGTGCTGCTGTCAGCACAGCCCAGAAGAACCTGATGCAGACAGAACAGAAGAGGCTTCGGACAACCAGGCGGAAAACCTTCTGGGGGGTTTTAAAGGTCAAGAGTCTGAAGCCACTGAAGAAAGAGTGAAAGAGGAGGAGACGCAGCATCGGCACAACGTGGAAAGTGCTCAGCTTGACCTGGCCGGGGTGCTCCAGGAGCTGGAGCTCACCCTGAAGGTGACGTCCGCGTTGGAGCAGGAGAAAATCCTAGAGCTCAGCCGACCTGCGGCGACGGAAACATCCGGCGGCTCAGTGAGACGGAGGAACAAGAGAAGGAAGGCCAAGAAAGCCGCACCCTGACTCTCCCATGAGGCTCAGCAACGTTAGCTCAAGCTTTAGGCGCTCTCGGCTGATTGGCTGTAGCATGGCAGCTGGTGTTAGCATGACAGCGCCAGCCATGGTAATCTGTACTTGACCTGGAAGAGAGCAGAACCTGAGCGTCAGGAACAAGTAGCATTTAAATGAACCGTTTAATAAGCCGAGTTCATACTGCAACACTGACAGCAGCCTATTTATGGGATTGACTATTTCTGACAAAAATTGTCAGCCAATCATCACTGGTGAATTAAATTTGGGGTTTTTATGATTTATTTGAACCGCTCTGTTTAGAGTGGAATGATCATAGGAGCCGGGCCGGACCGAAGCATTAGCAATAACATGCTGCTGCATTAAAGAACTTGGGATCACAGAGCAAGTTGATCTGGGCAGGAGTTGATCTCTTATGAAGGCAAATGTTTAGAATTGTAAAGTTATGTCAACAATAAGCTCTAATTTATGACTTTATCACCATCTGAAATTGTTAAAAGCTTTTTTTTTAATGAAAAGTGACAATATTTATGACATAGCCAGGCCAATGAGAATCAAACTAAAAACTGCAAATTAACTGTGCAGATATGTAATCATGCAAGAAACTTGTATTTTATTTCTTTTGATGTGGTTCTGGCGTTGATCTGCCTGTTCAGATAGACGACAGGGTTAAGGTTTGCCGTTACCCTTTGAGAACATTTCCGCACTTCCTTGTGTTGTCCATGTTTTCACATTTTAGCATGCAAAGTGAAAATGGTTTTTCCTGAAAACGTACGAGGATGTTTCAGAAAAAGCACACGAGTTCAGACAGAAAATGTTACGATATTCTGAAAGACAATAAACGTTTTTGCTTCCTCTCATTTCACGTTCGTTTAAACTTCTGGTCAAACTTTTTGGACTGAAATTGGTCAAAAAAAAAAATAAAAGAGACCAACAGCACAACTCAAAAAAGGATGTTTATTACTATAATGGTAGATTTTACCCATACAATAAAAAACGTTACATGGGTCGATGTAGGCAAAGACTAATTTGAATGAACAGTTTTGTGAGTGGCACATCACGACAGCCTTCTCCTCTACAGATCCGCATCATCCGGTTGGTCTGGGGGTTTCACGGAGGCTCTGCTCCCTCAGTGCTCCATCGGCTCGTCGGGTGCTTCTCCAGAAGCCAGCTCCTCTGCAGGCTGGGCGACCTGGACGGACACACAGCTTGCGTTTTAGTTCGCGGATATCGTTTCGGATGAAAGGCAGCGTGAGGAGAGCCAAAGCGCCGTACCTTTCTCTGCGGCCTCTCCTCCAGGCCCTCCAGGAACGGAGCCACGTCGTCGTCGTCGTAAATGGTGAACTCCATGTCCTTACCCACGATGCCGATGGAGACGTTCTGCAACACATTCATTCGTCATAAACCGCCCCAACAGAAAACCTCCATGCTGATTTTAAACGATGATGGGCACTGAGAGGCAGTTAGGACAAAACTACAACCTATAAATTAAAATCTTTCCACAAAATGTTAGGTACCTTGTCTTATAGCCATATTAAGAAAAGACAGTACAAAATTAAGAGTGGTCATAACATTAAGAAAATAAAGTAATAATACAAGAATAACGTACTTTTATGAGAATAGTTGTAGTTTTATAAAAATAAAGTCTTAGTTTTACAAGAATAGTCACAACATTACGACTTCATTCAAAAAAAAAAAAAAAACAACTTTATTCTTGTAATTTTGTTTTCTTAGTTTGGTCCTAATATTTTGTTGTAGAAAATAAATCAAAGTGATTGCCTTTATGCCAATAAGGAAAACATGGGAAGCCCTTTCAAAGCTTTAGATCTACAATGATTTTTACATTCCCTTCCTACAAAAAAATAAATCTATTTTCTTTGTTTAGTTGAAATATTTTAGATTTCTTAGTTTATTGTTCAAGCAGGAAAAAAAAATTCTTTTTGTGAGCTGTGTGTTTTTTTTTTTAAATATGTATATTCCAGTTGACAATTTTGTAAAAAGTTTGGCCAGCAGGGCTGAGAGGGAACCTGGTACCTTGGTGGTGAGGTCCTGCTCAGTGGGGAGCGTTTCTCTGAGAGCGCGGAGGCCATGTTGGACCAGTTCATTCAGAGCACCTGCCAACAACAAAGTTCACTACTGAATGACATCACAAATCGCTTCTGAATGCGTTTGTAATGGAATCAGAATCTTACAGTCCTGGAACTTGTCCATGCACCTCTCCAGGTAGGTGCGTGCAGACTGGGAGCGCGCTCCGATCGACATGGCTTTGCAGTCAAAGTAGTTTGCCGATGGGCAGGTCTGGAAGATGTGAGGCCCCATGTCCTGGCAGACAGAAAGATCTCATGGCTCCACTTATCGCGCTTCAAGTCAACGCTGGAGCTCCGTGAATCAGAAACTTACATCATAACCGGCGATGAGGAGTCCGACTCCATAGGGCCTCCTCCCGTAACGCTGTGTGGGAATCTGGGTTTCTATGGTTTCAGTTCAGGATCCTATTAATATGTGGGAAGTGACATCACTTTCAGCGGTTTGGTATCGATTTTCTCTTTTTAGTCCCAACACTGATCCTAAAGATCAAACTATTTTTCAAATGAGAATGATCGAAAGGATACTGCTGCCGATGAGTGAAACGAGACGAGAAATCGGAAGGGGTCGGTCAAAGACGAACCTCGAGTCCAAACACTCCTGACGCATAAAGTTACTGCGAGAGAGAAGGTTAAAGGTCTGATTAGTCAAAACACACAAGCAGGTTTAACAAGCTCCTTTAACAAGCTCAGTTCCACCAGGCGTTTGCTAATTCCTGCTGGCTAGTCTGAAGGAGCTGAACGGCTGGACAATCTGAAGTTCAATCAAACCAAACTTCTCTTGTTGTAGCTCAGTGAGAATCACCAGAATTATGTTTATTTACTAAATGCCATAATACTGAGAGAAAGAAAATATGTACAAATATGTACAAGCTCATATTTTCTTTCTCTCAGTTTCAAGAGTTTTATTGACGTCTCTGAAACGTCCAACATCCAGCTAGATCCAGATGATGGACGTCCCTCGTGTCCTACCAGAGCAGCCTGGCGTCAGCGGTCAGTCCGGCGATGGAGATGCCGATGTGGTTGTCGACATGCAGGATCTTCTTCTGGTGGGCGGCCAGTTCAGACTGGGCTCTCTGTAGACAATTAAAACCAAAAGCACTATGTGACCATGCCAAACCCCGGTGTTTCTACATTTCACACAAACATCTGGCTTGGAAGGGGTTGTTCTCCCAAAACGAAATGAGATCCTAAGATCGTAGATGACAAAAGAAATGATTAAAATTAATGAGGTCTGTCAGTAATCTGACACAAGCACATTATCCTCTCTGAAAAGGCACAAAGATGTCCAGCCAGAACCACCTCCTCTGATGTTAAAATCACATTTCTCTCCCGGAGGGCTGTATGATCGTACCTTCAGCGCAACGAGGACAGCGTGTGTTCTGGATTTCAGGCCCACAGTTGCTGAGCCTTGCTTCACCGCTTCCATGGCATACTCGATCTGATGGATGCGGCCCTGCGGACACAGAAGCGCCTCAGAAAACGGCCTTTCAACTCGGTGCAACAGGAGCCTGCAGGGCGGGGGAGAAAACTCACCTGAGGGCTCCATACTGTTACATCGTTGTCGTACTGGTTGCGGAACTGGAGAGAAAACAAGCCAGAAATCAGAAGGCATGAAGAAGAAAGTGTCCGCTTTGATAGCTGGAGAAACGCAACATAACCAGACGCACGTAGTTGTCTTCCATAATCACGACGTTCTTTATGGAAATGTGTGTGTTCAATAACAACAACAACAAAAAACCTTCAAGGTAAAACGCAGGACCCGTTTCTGTGCCCGTCCGAAGCCTGGGCTGTGTTAGTCAGGGGTTTTAAATGACAGTACAGCGGCTAAATTATTGATAAACCCACGTTAAACGATGACAACTGAGTAGCCGATGCTAGCTTGAGTCGTTTATCAGGCTACACTGCAGTTGTAGCGCCAATTGGATGAAAATAAACACATTAAATCCATCTAAAGATTTCTCCAAGCGAGTTTTTTTACTTACAAGAATGCAGCACAACTATATTATGCTATTTTAATTAAAAGAAAGTGACCTGAGGCAAAGCGAAAGTAAAGCCTCGGCTCTTCCTCCGCGTTTATGCTAACTCAATCTGGTGCGGCTAACTTCAGCTAGCTCCTCGGTTGAACCTGCTGCCGATGGTTCAACCGCACAAATAAGCGTCTCGGTTTCTATTGTGTCGTTTAAGGAGACGTGTTCTCGTGTATTCCGCAGTGGTCCTTAAAGAAAAGTTGCCTCACCTTCCCTTTGGGTCAGCCTATAATGCTAACAGCTACTGAAGCTGTTTTGCTTACTCACAGTGCGGACACAACTCAGCAGGCTAACGCTTAGCATAGCGTGACTAAATGAACCCCTGGTCAAAAATAGCAACATAACAACAACCAACTGGACGTTTTATTGTTAATGTACATGTCGCATATTACTAAAGTGATAAAGCAGCATTCGGCTTCATTTAAACTCACCATCTCTGCTCTGATAATGTCCAAGTTCCTCTGCGCAGGATGTGCCGCTGTGACGCTCGATTATTCTTCCTGGATGTGACGACAGGGGAGAGCAGAAGAGTGTCGATTTCAAATCAGTGAAACCTTTTACTAATACTTCACTAAATTATTATTATTATTATTATTATTATTATTATTATTATTATTATTATTATTATTATTATTATTATTATTATTAATAATAATAATAATAATAATTTAAAGATCCCAATTTATAAAATCTGACTGATCTTGACTTTTTGCCAAAAACTCTGTTAGTCAAGCAGAAACAGTGGCGACAGTTCTGTTCTACTGAACAAAACTGCACATGATTATATTTTAGATTTATAGTTATTAAAAAGACATAAAAAATAAATAAAGAAAATAAATTTCAAAATGATACACTACTTTTTGTGGGATTATCTCACAAGATGAATAAAATCTGAACTATGTAAAAAATAAATAAATATTAAAGAAAAATGTAGTCCATTAACGTTTCGATTTGCTATCTGCTGCCACAATAATTATTTCTAAAAACATGTATTTTTATGTCACAACGAACTTCATGGAAGTAAACATGGCCTGAACTAATTAATGTAAGTTTCAATTCACTGTTGTCTCACATCCGTTTTCATCCTGGACACGCAGTGGCAGTGTTCGGACACCAGGTGGCAGCAGCGACCTAGAAGAAATCACTGCACGCTTGCCCCCAAGTTTGGACTCCAGGTTGCGGAACATAAGTTATTATTGTGAGTCCAGATTTAGCTCGGAGAACAACTCAGTTTGGACACACCCGCTGACTGCTTCTGAAACTTCAGGGAAGAAAACCCGTTTGCACGTTTCTGATGTCTTAAATCCAAACCTAAACGTTCTTACATTCAGGTGTCATTTCAAAGGATGCTCTGATTTGTTCTGACATACGCAAAATCCACTTTTCGAACCCTTGAATTTAAAATGCCTTCAGTGACGTTCTTGACGCTCCTATTCAATTGTGTCGAGCCTTTGTTTGCTTCTTTCATATTGTGGTGGCATTACTATTTGAAAAGGTATGGGCACTGTAGTTAAACTACGCTCCATACTATAGGTAGCTGGTAGGGACAGAAAAGGTATGAATACGGTAATAACACCATGGCTGTACATTCATTCGAAGGCCTGGTTCACATGTTCCTAGTCTTCATTCTCCTGCTCGGGGTCAGACTCTGGGTCATACATGCACGGTACGATGGTACATAATCGTATCACGGTACATAATCTACAAAAATGGCCGAACGAGGTGAGTCATATCTCAATCACAATT